TTACAAATAAAAAGTTAAGTCACTGTCTCCACAAAATTTGATGTAAACTTTTTAAAATAAAAAATGGTATATAAATACATATAGATTTGAAGAACTGAAATATGATAGAGAAGGAGAATATAACTATTTCAGTAACTACCAAACATTGGCCTAACCATTACTTTCGAAGGATGTTCATTTATACCCCTTTGTTATTAGATTTAAAACCAATTGATATATAATATAACAAACTCGGTGACAACAAATAAAACCACTTTCTTAATTAACACGCGTTTACATAATAATACTTTCACAAAGATAGGCACAACTAATTATAAGTAGACTACTCGAAACAAATTTGCATGTCACCTTCTTTTCTTGTTCATCTTTTTTTTTTTCTTACAAAAACAAAATGGGATGAACAAGAAGATTAATTAACCTAATAAGGGGCAGATTAAGACATTGCCCTAAATATATATTACCAATTTCAACGACCGTTCGAAGAAAAGTTAGACATGTACATAATCATTAAATAAATCCACCTGTTGGCATTTCGAACATTGTCACTTCTTAATTTCACATTCTTGGCTGCATTTGTTTCCATTCGACCAATCGTCGCAAGAACTCCATCACCTGTTCGTTTCGTATTTTCAAGATCGGAGAGTGAAGTTAGCACGTGTAGAAAACCATTACTGCGAAACACATAGATGTATATAGATTCACACATATACTACTAATCATTATATATACTTAGACTTGCCTCGGATGGATCTTGCAACGAGTACGAAGCATTGGTATCTTTGGGAAACTTGGAGACAAGAATGCCAAATCCTTCGCCTCTGTCACGTAGCATCTAATTAAAAGAAACATATATTATTGTTAGTATATATTTTTTTATATAAAAAAATACAGTTTATGAAACTAGTTATAATATACCTCAAGAAAAATTAAGGTATACCTTAAATGCATCTTCGTCGGTCCGATCGTCGCCGATGTAAACCGGGAAAACGTTGTTCGAGTTCCCAAATCCTGTCGTATCGAAAATTTTAAAATTCAGTCTCCAAAATTGTGATAACAGTTGATTTGAGAACTATACTGATGATGAAAAATGATTAGTCGATAAAAAAGGATAAAAAAGGACGACACACAATTCTTGCTTTATTTTAATGAAAAACAAAGACACGATATATTAAAAACTCAAGTACCCACCAAGTGACTCTAACAAGAACTCAAGAGCTTTTCCTTTATCCCACTCAATCATAGGACGGATTTCGAAGACCTGTTGGATATATCCAAAAACAAGTTTAAATCATTTACACTTTTACTGTTTTTATTTTTTATTTTTTTATATAGCAACAAAAATTAATAGATTCCAAACACAGATTCTAGTATATAACAAGTATATGTTTGACCAATAAGACAACATGTCAAGTCATACCTTCCGACCTTGGGTCAGTTTCAGCGTAGGGAAGTTCTTTAATACCGAACGAACCTGTAGAACCAGTTCGCTCCATTTCTGGGTTATTAAAGTTTTCCATATTCAATGTTAGTGTTCGTTACGAATAATAGAGAAATAATATGGTATCCTAATTTGAGTTCAGTTTGAACCTTCTCATCTACGCAACGAAAGTGCACAGAAGCACAAAACTTGTGGTTTTCTACTCTAGCTCCCGGGGTTGATTTGGTTTTCTCCAAGAGTTGTCTGTATACCTTTACAAAATTTACTCCTATAATGAATACTCAATTCACAGTTACAGTATTTGTTTATTTAATAGAGCCAATATAATAAGTAATGTCTTACTTCATCAATCATGGGAAGATAGTCACTAGCTGGTTGGTACAGAAGAGACTGTTTAACCTTAAATAAAAGGGAAATAAATAAGTTTTAAATCTTTGGTCAAAAAAAAATAAAATAATAAGTTTTAAATCTATTTTTGTTTTTTTTATCAATTTATTTTATGTAATCAGAAAATTACCCTCTTGTGTCTGGGGAAGCCTTTTGCTGGGCCTTTTATGTCCATGCCATGGCTTCCAGCATAATACAGCTCAGCAAGCTTCACAAAGTTATAAACCTTTGGAAAGAAATAAAAACATATTAGCTTTAAAAATGTCTAAATGAAGGTGGGGGAAAATTCCAAAAGAAATATATAAAATAAGAAATACCTTGTCTATGCATCTACCAGTAACTATAGCAGTGGGGAAACACTTAGCCAGTTTTTTCACAGTTGTTCTCATCTGAGAAGCAGGTATCAAACTGTGCTTAAGTACATAGATTTACAAACACGAGTAGGTCAAACAGATTGATGTGAATTGAAAGACGAACCTTGCTTGACATGTAAGCTTTGTCTGGATCATCAACGATGGGAGAGAGGGTACCGTCATAATCAAGAAACATTACGATTTGTTTCCCTCCAGAAGCTTCCATGATCCGTTCGAACATTTCTAGTGCTGAAGGATGTTGCATCTGTCGGGAAACACACACAAGAGAAAGAAAACAAAAACTGTAAATGGAAGAGTACTTCATCAAGAGTTTGTGATGAGAGAGAGGAGACGTCTCGATGAGTCTTACGATCCATGAGTTGAGTTGTTGCTGGGAGGAGATAGAAGAAGGAAGTGATCTGAGATGAGTAGGAGAAGAAGCTCGCATTGAATCGACCCAAGCGTTGATTCTTTGGCCAGCACCACCATTGATGATGTCAATGTTCTTGAGGAGCTGTTTCTTGGAGACTGGGATCAAACCAGGAGGGAGTTTCTGGGAAGAAGAGTTGTTGTTGTTGGGGATGATACTTGACATTGTGGTCTCTGATACTAAAACGTTTTGACTCGCTGACATGGTCTGTGGTTTTTCCGCGACAAAGCTCACTGAGAAAACAACAGAATATAAAGAAAAGAAAGAAACAGAGGATTGGTTACTGAGAAAGAGACTCTGTTAATGTTAATAAACCCGAGATGAAATATAGTAAAAGCCAAAGCTTACCCATTAGAGAAAAATAAGGAATTCAAAATGTGGATACGTGAAGATGAAGAGAGAGAGAGAGAGAGGAAGGAGAAGAAGATGACTAGTATGTGTGTGTGTGTGTGTTCCAGTGCTTTAGTTTTAGGGACTCTGCAGCTTAGTTTATGTAGGGAGAAGAAAGGCGAAACAGAGTGGGACCTACTGGGCCTAATAATGGGTTTGGATGGGCCTAATGAGCCGTACGTTTGTAAATATGTTTGCGTGTCCTACTAATCTCACCCAACCCCATGCGAGTCGTCGAATCCGCGTCTCTCTTTTTTTTGGGGGATTATTGCAATATTATGTAAAACGTGTATATTATAAAAACATTGTAACACCATCTTGATCTTGACATTCTAACCCCATCTTGATCTTGACAATGTGACACCATCTTGGTCTTGGTCTCGGTCTCGGTCTCCGTGTGTGGTTCTGTGTCACTTCACCAAACACTAGAAGACGCTCTATGATCTTGTAATAATCGAATAATACTATTTTCAATTTTCTTAAGCTCGTCAAACAGATTTATCTAGTTACGTTATTGGTTGACACACACCTAATTGAAATTTAAAAATTATGTGACTTACTAAAATCATATGCTATTTCTCGAAAATATAAAGACAGCTAATTTTGAACTCGATCTTTGAAGAAAAAGGAGAAAATAAATAATCGTTATTTGCCTGGTGCGTTAGGCAAGATTTGATACATGATAAAGATCATTTTTCCTCTAAACCGACATATAGCCACATACTATGCATTAGTTTTATATTCGGAGGTCTTACGGAGTGTCAAACTACTTTCGCCGGCCAATGGATCGAACAAGACCCTAAGTGATCAAAAGGACTCGTAAGTCGTAACGTGTCGGTCACTACTTGAACTATAGGTGATATGACTCTTCGGACTCTTGTCGTGCTTCGAGCCAAACACTCCGCACATGCGCTCTACTTCAGTACGTGTCCCCTAACGAAACACAAACGGATAAACCCTTTTTCTAGTCTTTAGAGTAAGTCGGCAGACTTTTTTGTTTTGTTTATTGAACCTAAAAGCGGATACGAGAGCATGCAAAGTAGAGGTACAAATATTAATACATATAGAATAAAGTCATTGTACGTGTGTGCATAAAGCCCACAAGTTCGATCTGCTTCTCGACTAATGAATCGATCAATGATCGATTTCTTTGTTTTTTTTAATATAACGTTTTTGTTTTCTTCTGTTGGTTGCTAAAGGGGTTAACGTAATTTGCTAAATAACCACTCGTTTTAAGAATTGTATATTGCTTTATTATGTTATTAGTTTAGGGTTTCGAGGTGATTAGCACATTAATATCTCTTTAGAATTTTGATTTTTTGAGCCCAACATTTATTTTAGATTATATGAGCAATCTACATACGTCGTCGTCAATACCTTAATTTCAACTACGTACATAGAAATAAAAACCAACGTGAACTCCATAAAAAAATCAACTAAAAATAGAATCGGGTCGAGAAAAACTCGGACGTTTTTTTTGTTTCGACAAGTCTCTTATTGTCTTTCTAAATATTGACGAAACAAATCTGAGGTTCATTTTCTGTTTCTCTTATGATACCAGGTCAACAGGTGATAGCCATAGAAAAAAAAACACAAACAACTAGAGGGGAAAAAAAACTTGAATTGACAGAATAGAACAGAAGACAAACCCATCACAAGGTCTATTGAGAATTTGATATTGATCTGACAAGGGAAAATAATTCATTCTTGTTCTTGTTCTTTACGCTTTTTTAACTTCTGTTAGTAGTTCTTTTATACATGTCCTCTTAACCTCTCGTTTGATCAGAATGCCATTTTGTATCAAATTATTGATTCAAGAAGAAGGCACGCAACAAATGAAGCTTCCTCCATTTCCTCTCCCATATTAACAATGGTCTCCTCTTCTTAAAGACCAACCATAAAGCTTCGTTTCGTTATATTTATATCTTCCTATATAACCCCTTTCTCGGGGTTGGTTTGGCTGTTCAGCGGCTAGGTTTTGGTTCTATCTAGAGGCGGAAGGATGGCGGATAATCCAATGGAGAAAAGGTCTCGTTGTCGGTTTTTGGGATTTGTGTTTGGTAGACGTGGCTTGTGGTCCAAGAAATGTCCCACGGACAATAGTAGCCATAAAAGCACAATGAGTAGCAACAATGCCTCCACTGCCACAGCTACCACCGCTAACATTCAGTTCACCAAATCTCCATGTACAGAATATAACCCGAGGAAGCTTCAAGAAAATAAAGTTTTACCTGAGCCGACAGAGGTCCAGAACCAGGTACAAAGACCTATGTCAAAACCCTCACCGAATCAATTAGGCAGCAATGGGAATAGCCAGCCAAGTAGTAATCAAGGACCAGTCCAACAACAACAAGCAAGGAAGGTTCCGAGGGAAGCAATTGGTTTATCAGGTGAGCTAGAGAGCATGATCATGGATAATCAGAAAGCAAAAGGGAGTAATATGGTTCGAGCTTCTTCAAGCAATGTGATGTTGTTTGGCAATCTTGGGAACTTGAAGCAACCAGGAGCATCCGGTGGGAATCAAACTACCATCCAGAACAGTGGATACGGGAATACTGGTGGAGGGTATGAGGTGAGGAAGACGATGGAAGAGGAAAGAAGAACACCGGTTGCACCATTACCGGCTTCAAATAATCAAGATCAGTCAGGATCTTTGTGTAGAGCGATTTCCACTCGAATGGATCCTGAAACGTTAAAGATAATGGGTAATGAAGATTACAAGAACGGGAATTTTGCAGAGGCGTTAGCGTTGTATGAGGCTGCGATAGCCATCGACCCGAAAAAGGCTTCTTATCGTAGCAACAAGAGTGCGGCTCTAACTGCACTTGGGAGAATTCTTGAGGCAGTATTTGAGTGTAGAGAAGCGATAAGAATGGAGCCTCACTACCATAGAGCACACCATCGGTTGGCTAACTTGTACCTCAGGTAATCTCATCAAAACCTTACCTTGTGTCTCAAGTACTATTATTATTTTTCTGAAAAGCACAAATTTTAAACCAATAGGTTAGGTGAGGTCGAGAAGTCAATATATCATTTCAAGCATGCGGGTCCAGAAGCTGACCAAGAAGACTTAGCAAAGGCTAAAATGGTTCAAACACATCTCAACAGATGTACAGAGGCCAAAAGATTGAGAGATTGGAACACTTTGATTAAAGAAACTGAAAACACCATAGCTACAGGCGCCGATGCAGCTCCTCAGGTATATGCATTGCAAGCAGAGGCCTTTTTAAAGACTTACAGACATCAAGAGGCCGACAATGTTTTGTCGAGGTGCCCTGTTTTCGATGTGGAAATGAGCACAAAGTATTACGGACCGATCGGTTACGCAGGTTTCTTGGTCGTTTGGGCCCAAGTTCACATGGCATCTGGAAGGTTTGTTCTCCTTGAGTCCTTACAAAAGCTTACAGTTGAAGATGATAACTGAACCAAACCCGGTTGTTCAAACAGATTCGGAGAGGCGATTGAGGCGATTCAAAGAGCGGGGAAGCTGGACGGTAACAACAGGGAAGTGAGTATGGTTCTCCGGCGTGCTCAGGCAGTTACAACAGCGCGATCAAGAGGCAATGATTTCTTTAAAGCTGGAAGATTTCAAGAAGCTTGTGCAGCTTATGGCGAAGGATTAGACCACGACTCAAGAAACTCAGTCTTGCTATGTAACCGAGCGGCTTGTCTATCCAAAATGGGGCAATTCGATCGAGCCATTGAGGACTCCACGGCAGCACTCACGGTCCGTCCTGGCTACACCAAGGCTAGACTCAGAAGAGCCGATTGTAACGCTAAGGTTTGAAATAATTAGATATATAGCAGGTGACCAAATCGTGGATATAGTATGAAATTGGGGTTACAAATTTAATTGTTATCTTCTTTTACGTGGTTGCAGCTTGGGAATTGGGAATCAGCGATTGGGGATTACGAGTTACTGAAAAAAGAGACACCAGAAGATGAGGAAGTGACAAGAGGATTGTCTGAGGCTCAGAAACAGCTCGTGAAACGCCGTGGCCATAACTCTTGAAATCTCCCAGCATTATATTAAACAACAGCCGCGAGATCGATCGGGAAGTTAAGGATTTAGAAAAAACCACCGTGGCCTTGTTTTTTCCTTCTTTCTACACTCTTTTTGGCCATGTGAATCTTTTTTTAATCTAATGATTCAATTGTATATCCTTTAAAAATGTCTATTAATCATTACAAAACCGAACATAAACAGTAAATAAATAATTTAGAACAAAGTTTTAAACTTTTTTAAACACTATTGCGAGATGAAAGTTTTGCTCTGTATGCATTTGCCAGTTTATTCTGATGTCCTTGAAGATGTACATGAATATGATAGTAGAATTGATGTAACTCTATTAAGATAAACTTTTTAAATATACGCAAGGCCAAATAGTTTTGTTTTACTTCAGAAAATTTATTAATCTCTAGGTATAAGAGACAAGCCCATGTAGCAGAAGAAGAGAGTTGAATAATCTCATGATAGAAGAGAAGCTGCATGATGATCTTGATGATGATGACGATGATGTTGGTTTGGATGGAGTTTACCTGCAATTACTGGTGAAACGGCATGTCCTCTGCTTTGCTGCTCCTCTGTCAATGGATATGGCGATGAAGTGCTTCCCGGTGAAGCTCGAGGGGGTTCTATCTCATTTTCTTGACCTGCAAAACATCCCGGTATCATTTTATTTAGCATTGGATCTTACAAGAGATCTTGGTAGTAAAGTTCAATTTTAATCAGAATCTCACATTTGGAGGCTGACCAGCCTACCTTCATGTTCTCTCTATCGAAAACCATTTGATGGAGACTTTGGTCTGAGCATGTAAGAAAGAAAGAAAGATGATGAATAAGACTAATACATACGTCTTATGCTTCCTATCCCTTCTTCTCTACTAAGACTCGTTGGCAAGCAAAATTGGACAACCCCCTGAAAAATGGTTCATGATAATGTCACATACATCAAATTCTAAATCTCTACCGTTTTTTTTTTTATAAATCATAAAATGTGTATATATGGTCTAACTTGACTTTGTTGGAACACAAACAAAGGTCTGTGTCTCATGAATGTGTTATTGTGCGACTTATGGCTGCACAAAAAGACTTTGCTGGTACTTGAACTTGATGGATTATACTCGTTCCGATCTCTAGTAGCCGGTAGAATATGTGCCCCCAAACACGAGGAAGCATCTGCCAATCAATCAATTGGAAATAAGCGATAAACCGGTCATCATTTTACTATTGTAATTCTTAACTACACATATTACATATATAAGCAACAAGCTTATAATTTTGCATCACATACCAGGCTGCTATAATAAGTGGATGTTAAAGGAGCGCATTGCACACAGTTGCAAGGGATCCAAAGTAGATCACTTCCGGTATCTAAAGCCACAAGAAACGATACACTCGGCGTCCTTATGTCATCCATGTATAGAGTAGCCTGAGTAAAACAATCACACAACAAAAATCATGTAAGGCAACATATTACTACTAAAACATACCGAGTTCAGAACTTTTTTTAGCAGAGCAATATATATCCAAAAACAAGTAAACCAAAAGAAAAAGACTGTTAGTAATTTCATCATAAGCAGATTGAGTTAGTCAAAACGCAGGATTAATGAACAATTCACCTAAACAAATAATAAATGCAACCTTTTCTTTATCTAAACTCTAAAGGTAAAAACTTTAGAAACTCCAAAATTAAAAAGAGGAACTTTTCTAAAAAGAAATGTACCATCCAAAGTTATTTCGAGAAGAAATAGTTTTGCTTCCTTCAGATGGAACAAGGGACAGATACTTAGCACCGAGATTCATTCTCTATCTTCGGTAATCACTTCTCGCGAGCAACTGATAATACTCCAAGCTCCGCTTCTCCGGAAACGAATCCGACGAATTTGGAGTCTTAATTGACGCTCTAGCTTCTTCGGAGAAGCGATAGATTAGCTTTGAAGAGTAGACAGAGGCTAGAGTCTCCTTATTGGCTAGAGCGAGAACGCAAATGAGTAGAAAAACAGAACCAGATCGTGACGCCATTTTTGTTCGAGCTAGAGTTTTGCTGATATAAGAACAAAACCTTGCACTGTTACATTAGAGTGAACAAGCGAAAAATCTAGTAAAATTGGGTTTTCAATCGTAAGTTTATCAATAAAGAGAGATATTTATCGAGAGAGTGTAAATGTTGGTCGGAGAGTTATGGCTGACTGTGAGAGTGAGAAAGAGAGGAGAAGAAGAAGAAGCAGCAGCTAAATGTGGTTGTAAATGACGTAAATGCCCCAAGCAATGTACTTTACACGTGTACTCAATTATTTTTCCGGTTTGGTTTCGACGAAATTACGGTTCTGTCTTCATAAACAATATGAAGATTAAAATGACGTAATTGCCCTGAGCGGTGTGCATACACGTGTAATACTACAATCAATCATTCGTTTTGGTTTGGTTCCTACGAAAGTACGGTTTATTATAAACCAAATTATATACATCGGTCCGAGACTATTGTTGTCGGCTGGCTTTTTAGAAACCCTAATTGACATATAAAACCCTTAGCCGATCAAAAATACATCTGCGTTTGTCGGAAATATCGCCGGAAAAATGGGTTACGGGAAGAACAAACGATCTAGAGGAGGCAATTCGAATCGAGGCCAAACCAGTCGGACTGACAATCTTGGAAGGTAAATATGTTATCTTTGTGAATCGAGTTTTTCTCTCTGTTTTCGATTTTGTCGTAGGCGAGTATTTACGATTTAGTTGCAAAATTTGCAGGGAAGATGAATCACTTCCGCGAGATCAAGGTACTAAAGTTAGTTGTTTTTGGTATTGGGTTATTTGAATGGCTTTAGACGTTGAATACACCAGTAAGTAATGCTCTTATTGGTTGATTTTTCGTAGAACCTGAGGATGAAGCACCAGTTCCTAAAGTTCAGTTGGCAATGTGGGTATGCATAGTTTCCTTTATGTTTATCCTTAGGTCGAAAACAGATTCTAATCCAAATCCAGTAAAATTTCCAAGATCAGTTTGTTTCACTACTCATTGATGTAATTGTCGCGTTTTGTTGTGTTAGGATTTTGGTCAATGTGATGCAAAGAGGTGCACGGGTCGTAAGCTTGCTAGATTCAACTTGTTAAAAGTAAGTTTCATGAGCTGGTAAAGTTTATATATGCTATCTTCTTTCTAAGTGTTTCAGCTGAAAATCCTGCTGCGATTGATGTTGTAGGAATTACGGGTTAACACAGGCTTTGGAGGAGTTGTTTTAAGGTGTCTCTACTCGTTATTACTGTATCTTATTATGGTCATGTCATTAGATGAAACTTTCTTGATTGTGTTGTTTTAATACCGCAATCTGTGTCTGATGATTTTGGCAGTCCAGTTGGTAGACAATGTGTTTCAAGGGAAGACTATGATCTGATTAAAAGAAAAGGATTAGCCGTTGTCGATTGTTCTTGGGCACGTCTAACTGATGTCCCGTTTGCAAAGCTGCGTTGTACTGCTCCTCGTCTCTGTAAGAAGTTATAATCAATCACCTTTGCTATATTTATTGAAGATTTAGGCAGATCTCTAGTAAATGTTTATTCTTACTTTATGATTGTAGTACCATGGTTAGTAGCAGCTAATCCAGTAAATTATGGAAGACCATGTGAGCTATCTTGTGTTGAGGCTTTATCTGCAGCTTTAATACTATGGTGAGTCCATTAACTTCTTCTCCTGTAACCCATCTCATTAATTGGTCATGCATTATCCGGTTTTCTAATATGTCCTGCTTCATTTGTTTTCGAATCAGTGGGGAGGAGGAAACTGCAGAACTTTTGCTAGGAAAATTCAAATGGGGTCATGCCTTTTTATCTCTCAACAAGTAATAAAACCGAAGAGGCTCAATACCTTCACATCGTTTTGCTTTTTGATCCGTGAACACAACAATTTTCTAGTATGTGTTTGTTAACGAGGTCTCCCGATATATCACAGGGATATTCTAAAGGAGTACTCAAAATGCCAGAATAGCGCTGAAATCATCTCAGTTCAAAATTCTTGGCTTACTCAGCAAACTCAGATCCCAAAACAACCACCTGCGCTTGAAGAACGTAGGTCTCATGTTTTTTAAGAAAAATCCTGTCATTGTTTTCTCACAGTGAACTAAGTTTTCTGGTTGTGGTTCTTTCTTGTTTTGGCTATAGGTGTTAAGAAAGATGGTGAATCTGGTGATGAATCAGAGGATGATGATGAAGATGGTCTTCCTCCTCTAGAGAGGAACATGAACCATATCAACTTGGAAGACAGCGAGGAAGAAGATGACAACAGCGAGTGATATAGCCAATGGAGAATTTTATTGCAATGATGTTAAGTTATCACCGTAGTCTTGTGGTGTATAAATACCATGTTATAGTGTCTTCATCTTTTATATTTAATAATAAAAATATCTACCATGTTATAGTGTCTTCATCTTTTATATTTAATAATAAAAATATCTACTCCCCATTCTTAGATTTTTTTTAAAAAATATTTTGCTTTTTTTTTTCTTTCATGTAAAGATTAAAGTTTTTAGTTTAAAGAAAATGAAAATTAATTGAAGTGAAACAAAATATGGAGAGCAATAAAGTGAAAGCCCATCTTTAGTATCTGAAGGCAAAAAAAGAACACAACTTTCCTCTTTTCTCCGCGACTCTAGCTCCCCATAGATCGATTTCGGCGTCAAACGTCGTCGTTTTGGTCATCCCTTACTACGTATCTGCTTCCGCCGCCTTCTAGGGTTCTTTCTCCGTTTACCCTCCGCCGCTAGATTTGTTCAGCTCCGCCGCAAGTTTGTTCAGCTCCGCCGCATTCTTCTGTCTCTTAACGCCCCACTCCAGCTGTAAGCAAATACGGCTGCTTCTCCCTCAAATTCGTAAACGACCTGGGGGATTTAAGCTTCTTCTCCCTTCTCCAAAATCTTTACTTTTAGGATTTTGTGAGTTTTGGTGGGATGAGTAGTGTGTTCAGTGAACAGATCCTGATTGATAAGCTCGCTAAGCTCAACAGCACTCAACAGTCCATCGAAAGTATCCTCTTTTAACCACTTTATACTTAGATCTTGTAAATTTCACCCCTTTTTTGTATGTTTGGTTTCTTGACTCTTTTGGATTTAAGCTCTGTCGCATTGGTGTATATTCAATCGGACCAAAGCTGAATTGATTGTAACGACATGGGAGAAACAATTTCACAGTACAGAGATGTCTCAGAAAGTCCCTCTTATGTATCTGGCTAATGATATTCTTCAGAACAGTAAGCGTCAGGGTAATGAGTTTGTGCAAGAGTTCTGGAATGTTCTTCCTAAGGCTGTCAAAGACATTGTTGCTCAAGGAGATGACCGTGGCAAAAGCGTTGTATCACGTTTGGTATTTCTCTTTCTTCTTCTTCATTGGAGCTTTTTGTTCTTGTCGTTTGATTCTTGTTCTCTGCAAATAGGTTAGTTACTTAATATGTTGTGCAATTGTGTTTGAAGAAAGAATATGTTTTGCCAAAAGCTTAAGATATTAGGGATGTCTGGTTGGTCCCTAATCTCATGTTTGATATTAGGGATGATATATGTAAGGTTCGTGTGATGACGCTATTGAGTTTTGTGAACATGAAGAAAAAAGTTAATTGCTAATTGAGATATTTGGTGTTCTTGATTTGTAGGTCAAGATATGGGAAGAAAGAAGAGTGTTTGGATCTCGTTCAAAGAGTCTTAAAGATGTAATGCTTGGAGAAGATGTCCCTTTGCCACTTGATGTGAGCAAAAAGCGTTCCCGCGGATCCAAATCTTCAAAACGGGATTCGAAATCATCCAGAACGGTAAAATACTTAACTCAAAAGTGTACTTTTTCACCTCAATTGATATTAGTCAAATTTCATTTTAGTTCTCTTTTGGGTTTTTTGCCTTTGAACCAGAGATTATCTTCAAGTGGAGGTGTAGCTGAGAAGATAGCATCAGCATATCATTTGGTTGTTGCAGAAAACTCAAATGAAGAAGCTGAGATGAATAAATGTAAGTCTGCTGTTAAACGAATCAGGAAGATGGAGAAAGATGTTGAAGAAGCCTGCTCTACTGGTAAAAACTGTTTTACTAATTATCAGTTACCACCTCCTGCCCTGTTTGGTCTCGAACTCTAGTGTTAAATCATATTTATCAATTTGTGTCACTCCAGCAAAAGACAACCCGAAGAGAAAGTCGCTGGCGAAAGAAATGGAAGAAGAAGAATACCTTTTGAGACAATGTATTGAGAAACTTAAATCTGTGCAAGGAAGTAGAACTTCCCTTGTGAACCAGCTTAAAGATGCACTACGTGAACAGGTACCAATTGCTTTTTTGCACTTGGCAAGTTCGTTATTTTGGTAATCCATCTTTCATTCTTTTGCTTACTCCGTGTCAGGAATCCGAACTGGACAATCTTAAAGCTCAGATTCAGGTACGTGTTTGAATTCCCACTGCATCTTTATCCTTGTTTGTGACATCTGATTAGCTAATGAACAATCTTGTTGTTATATTAGGTAGCACAAGAACAAACAGAGGAAGCCCAAAACATGCAGAAACGGCTTAATGATGAGAATTACACATCAAAACCAACAACCGCTGCCCCGAGCTCAGTCTCTGCTACCACGATAACCGAAACAACTGACAACACAAAATCTTCCAAAATGACGCCTGCATCTATTGCTGCGATGCTCACGGCATCAACCTCATCACATATGATCATGCAATCTGTTTTATCTTCATTTGCTGCTGAAGCAACCAAGACTTCTGGTCTATCCAAATCAGAGAGCACAGTTCCGGTTTCAGACGCTAATGCTTCGTTCCCTTCTTACAACAACTCCCAGAACCAGACACCCACCACGCAAACTCAGTACCATGTAATCCCTAATCCAGCACCACCACAATTCCTAAAACCACCGGTAATGGACAACCATTACAGCTTTGGTAACATTCCATTAATGCCGCCTGGACTACCGCCGCCGCCTCCACCACCACATTTGATAGGTAATCAACAGCCTCAAATTCCTCCTCAGTCGAACTCAGCTCAGCAGTCTCAACAAGGTCCCACTTTCCAGCCACCGGGGATAATGTATTACGGAGCTCCACACCATTCTTAAAATTAGAAATGATGTTTAGTTTATAGCTTTTAGATAGTTCTGACCCTTTTTATCTGCTGAAATGTAGCTTCAATGATACATTGTTGGGTCGAATCAAAGCAGAACTATTGGTTCCTCTGGTTGTCGAATCCTCAACTTTCCCTCTTGCAGTTGTTTGTATCACATATTGTTACAACATAATGTAATAATTCTCTCCCGTTAACTCTCTATTTCCTTACTGTATGTATGTATGTGAATTCTGTACCTTGAGAACAGAACTTGCTCAAACATGGAGACATAAGATTCAATTAACAGTTTGAACAAGCTTTTACATTCATTTTCATGTTACACTCTTTGTCTTGAACGTTAAAGCTGAATTTGATAATCACTTCTTCATTAAAGCCTGCTTCTGGAGAAAATCTTTGAGCCAAAGGGGCATATGGTACATGATTGCCATGAGGGTTGAGTACCTGCCTGAAGAGAACCAAGCGGGTGGGTTCTTCTTCAACACTATAGCTACAGTATCTTTGGCGAACGTTTCTGCAGGAGTTGGCTTCATCCTCTGTGATATAAACGCCCTTTCTCTGATAGCTTCTTCATAAGGCTTGTACAGTTTAAGCTCAGGCATTTTGTTGAAGGTTGCTACAGCAGAGTTTGCTATGTTTGTACGTATTCCTCCCGGGACAACGTTGATGACATCAATCCCAAAGGGCCTAAGCTCCAACCTGATGTTGAAGCAGGAACCATTAGAAAACAATTGAAAAAAACCAAAAACCATCCGCTACTAGATAATGTCAACAACAACTACACTTATCATGAACACAAAGCATCATCAACCAAAACCAACATGAGATTCTAGTCCTCTAAAAATGATAACCAAGGTTTGATCACAGCTATTCAACCATCCTTACCATCAATTCTCTTATTGACAGAAAAAAGCACAAACAGGACATATACATTTCACTATATCAGTATGCATTAGAGGAAGAAGATTCTTCAAACGACACAAATAGACACAAATCTGCAAATGATATAAAGAAAAAGTAAGCAAACCTCAGGGTATCGGTGAGAGCATGAATAGCAGCTTTGGTAGCTGTATAGACACCAGCCCAAGGACCTGGTGCCATAACAGTGATACTTCCAACATTCACAATTTTTCCCTTTCTTTTAGACACCATGTGAGGTACAACAGCTTGAGTCATCCTCATGGAACCTGCATTGATGATAATAAGCTCTGTTCAAAAACATTCTCGTAGAAATCAAAAACGGAATCCTTTTTTTTTTTTTTTTGTTATACCAAAAACATTGGTGTTGAAGGTGTTTTCCATTGCGGAAATTGGAATCTCCGCCAAAGGTCCAACGCATTGAACGCCGGCGTTATTAACAAGAACGTCGATCCTTCCGAACTCATTAATAACCTCCGACAAAACCTTGCTCACGTTCTGTTCAGACTGAACATCAAGCTCCTTCACGAACAACCTCGAATCTTGCTCCAGATCCGTCATCGAGCTCCGCGACCGGCTCGTCGCCACCACTCGACATCCCTTATCAGTAAACTCACGCGCCAGAGCGTGTCCAATCCCTCCCTGAGAACATCCCGTTATCAGAACCACCGGCGTACTGCTCTCGTCATCACCGCTCTCCATTTTTCTCAGATTTGAAACAGAGAGAGAGAGAGAGAGACAAAGCAGATGACGTGGAGCAACAACCAAACTCAAGTAAGGGTGACGTGGAGGTCTGTGTCTCTACAAACAATATCTTCCTTTTAATATCAGCAGCATTTTACCAACATTGCCAGACTTGTAACTTTTTTAAAATAGATTTGAATGTCTAAATTCTAATTAAGTACTTCCAACTGCTACTAATTTCGACGTCGTTCTCTTAAACCATAATTTATGATTATTAGTCATGCACGACTTTGTGTGTGTGTGTGTCCAATTATATATAGTCGCATTTCATACATTAACTACTTTGTGATGAACGTTGTCATGAACCAAAATTTAAAAAGAACAACAGATTTGATTTACTATGATTTACATACAGTCTTTAAAATCCTCCAGAATATAAAGAAAAAACAAAAAGAAAAAATTAAGCAGAGAAGAAGCCATTGGAAACAGCAAGAGCAAACTGAGATTTGGCTTCAAGTTTCCTCTTTAAGCTCTTAATCTTGTTTTCCTCAATCCCAAACGACGTCATATTTGCTGGAGAATCGTTCCACCGTCCGACTTCCGCAGAAACTGATGCTTTATGTGCCTTAAGCTTCACCATCCGCTCGTATTCCTCCACCACTAATATTGCTATGTCTGCCATTGTTACAATCCCTTGACCTTTCTTTATCGAATCGAAATTGACCTTGAGTCCTGTGCCAAGGAAGAACACATTCAACATCTAAAGCTATTTATATTGTTTGCTCTAACTTTGTTGTTTCGGATAAGGATCGTCCCATTGGTATTATTTTAATGAAAAGAAAAAAACAAGTGTTGTCCCCCATTGTATTGTTGTTTGTTGGTAATCATAATCGATTCTATTGGTCTTGGTGGTTTCTAGAGAAACTTGGATAGGTCGGTCACGGTGTTACCATGTGCGCCGATTATGTGTTTAATAATGTAATCTTCTTTTTTCTTTTTGTTGTTGTCGTCAATAATGTAATCTTATCTTGTAGCTTCCCGAGAAACGTATACAGCATACCCGTATGTTGTTGTTGTGGGAGAGTGATTAAATTCATTAATGGAAAGCCCAAATCGGTATAGAGCATCTTTTTTAGGCCCTGGTATTTTTCCAAGATCATCATATAAGCCCAATATGGAAAGAGGGTAGTTCAATACTAGTACTAGTATCGTTTCCTCCTCGTCCTCGTCCTCGTCCTCGTCTTCGATACTGTATTCCCAAGTTCTTTTTTACTAGGTCTAGGTAGGTACAGGGTACTAAACAAAAAATGGATGTCCAACAACAGAACGTTTCTGGTAGGATGACAAAAAGGATAAACACGTACTATGGTCAAAGGAACCAAAAGGAAATCATCTTTAAAATGATGATGATAGCTATTAGCTAGCTAACTTCTGTATTGTATTTGTCTTCTGGATAATGTCGTCGCCAAGACTTCCTCTCAACGTTATTTATTTCGTCTACTTTTTTTTTTCCTTTTCTTCTTATAAAAACTATATACATCTTTCTTATATATCATCATGCTTTATTGTTTTATTTGTATAGATTTTAATTAATAACTAGGAATGTAAGTTATGACGAGTCTACTACTTCGATTAGTTTTCAAACTGGACTATAAAAGACTGTTTTTAGGAGAGTCTAATTTTTGCAATAGTAAACTAGATTAAGTGGGATCTCTACTACCCTGCCTATGTTTTCTTTTAGCGTCAACCACACTCAGATTTGAGAGTTTATATAAACAGAGAAACAATAATAAAAATAAAAGAAAACTCCAAAACTAAATTCAACTTTACTTCGATTTACTTGGAATCTTTAGCCCTTACATATATCATCTATATATTATATTCTCCACTACCAAGGTTTGAGGTGAATCTTTTCCAACCTAATCAAAAGCATTGTGTGTAAAATTCGAACGCCATTATAAAATGTTCAAAAATATCGCCTTGGATCCTATAAAACCATAAACCACTTCCATATAACAAACATGTTTTTATCTTCTAGTGCATATCTTTATTTTTCATGTACGATTACGCTCGGGTAGTACTAAATTATAGAATCCTTTTCTATATATGATTACTTCAAAATTAGCAAAAGTAGAAGAGATGATATCTCCTTTGAAATGTCGCTAAATAAAGTTGAGTTAAAATATTACAAGGTTCGTGAAAATTATCAGATTGATTTCAAAAAGATGAGTATATATATAGTTAGCCAAAAGAAAAAAAAAACATACAAATGAAAAATAAGAGTGACAACATCCATTCTTAGTGGCAAACCACTTTTTAATAAGTTATAGCACTTGAGAATAATTCCACAAATGGACAAAAGCAAAGAGTTTGTGCGTCATGTCTCATTAGTTTATACTTCTTTTTAAGTGTTCTTTAATTTGTATACGAATAAATATTATTTCAAAACTTAAACAATACGTGGATATATATCATTTTTAAAAAGGAAAATCACAAATCAATCAACCAACGAACAAAATCTGTAAAAAAATGAAATGAGTGGCTGCGTCACCCACCACATGATCATTTCTATAACTTCACACATAGATATCACTTGTATAATACCTATAAACATAAAACAACTAAACGATTAAATTGTTGTTTTAGTTTTGCGTAAAAATCTTATTTGCTGTGTAATAATAATATCACGTAGAAGTGCGAGGGTTTAGGGCTTTTCTTTCGTCACTTTTTTCTTAGGTTTTATTAACAAAAGACATACATATTATTACATTTGGTGGTTAGATATTGTACTGCGTATACAGATAAACGCACCATAATCACATGCATTAGTTACTAAGTACTGAGTTGTGTGCTTAAAAGAATCAAGTAAAGATAGGCAAGTGGGTAAGAAGTTGTGGTCACACACAAATATGTCTCCTATCCAACTTGAAGAGCCAACCAATCTGTTGTTCTGATCAAATATTGAAATCTTTCTTTATCAGCTATATAGGTTAGGTGTGATGATTCCTTTGCAAAGGCTCGTTTTATTTCTTTTTTTTTGTCAGTATATAATATTATCAAATAGTACGCTTTTTATTATTAAGAAGACGTATATGTGAATCTTTTTAGTTGGCATAACGTAACCTACATTTAAACTATACCTAGATGGTTGATAATTTGACATAGTACGTATTTACATTATACTTAGTCAGCTGAAATCAAAGATTACGTGCATGATGGTCGACCTCTCTCTCTTTTTTTTTTTTTTTAAAAGCCTTTGTACATGTAAATCTATATTAACCATTAGGTGTACTAATTCCATTAAGAACTATCAAAACTAATGATTACTAAACAACTGATTATATGCATCGATAGTTCACGTACAATAAATAATATTCTCTCCATTTTATAATAAAAATTCTTTTGACTATTATTTTTTAAAAATTATATAATTTTTTCACAACCTACGAAAAAATAAATATTGTTTTATTATTTTTATTAATTGTGGATTATCTTTTTATTGGGTGAATTGTGTTTAAATTAGTATTATATGATATTTTTCTTTAAAATAAAATATTTTTAAATAATTTATTAATCTATATACATTTGCTTAAAATATCATTTATTCTTCTTTTCTTTTTTTTTTCTTTTTTTTGTTGCCGTCAGCCTTGCGATTATGTTACGTACTGATGTCTTATAAAATCCCAACATATATATACAAACTTAGAAACATACAAAGCTAGCTTTCATCCCCGCCGCAAAACTACTATGCTGCGCTTGTGCCGTTCTATTTTTCTACGCCTTCACCGACGGAACCTGCCGCAAGTTTTGACGTGGGATGTATAATATATACTTGGACAATAAACAGACTATTTTTATCAAATGAATTGTTAATGAATATTAATAAAGAATTTAAATCTGATTTAACTTTAAATAATTCCTAATCTACCTGGTGCGCACATCAGCGAGGTAGTGGAGACATGACAAATGTGATTAAAAAAAACAACAAAGAATAAGCAGAAAAATAATAATAATTTAGTAATAGAATAAAATTAAATTACGGGACTAACTATTACAAGAATATACGGTAAAAAGAATAAAAGTCATCAAACATGTCAAAATTGGTTAATGTATCTTTATTTTGACTCTGCTGGATTCACTGCTTAAAAGACAAATATCACCGAAGCATCAACAAACCAAAAAAAAAAAATCAATTTTTCTGTATAATTTTAGAACATTTATTATGATTTAGAAAAAATTAAAGAACCCTCTCTTTTAAGTTGTCGTGTTCTCGCATGATTCTTCTTCTCCTCCAAGATGACAATTCCACAGAACGCGAGTTTATCGTCTCTTCTGTTGTCAGATAAATTTAAACTGAGGATTTCTAGGCTTTGTGTTCGATTTCGTCACTGAAACTGAAAAGTTTCTTTGCTTTTTGCTTTGTTTTTTTGTTGTTCTTTTCATGGTTTCCGCGGGAAAAGTTCCTCTTTTTGAAGCCCTTTTGACATAAACAGACCATAAGAAGAAGGTAACAACTTCGAATCTCTCTTCTCCTCTGAAAAGTTTGATTTTTGGGTTGAATCTCAGCTTGCCTTAGAAGAAGTTTTCAATTTTTGTGTATTTCTCTGTTTCATCTCTAGTATTACTTGCCAAACTCTTCTAGAGATACCAGTTTCATGTTAGGTTTCCGGATTAGGGTTGATCTTCGTTGATTACAATTGAAGCTGTTACTTTTTTTTAATGATTTTTCATTTCATGATTGGCTATGTGATAATTTGGTTCTCTATCTCGTATTCTCTTCACCTTCTTCTCCGAGTAGCCTTTACATCGAATCTTGACTTATAGACAAGAATTTTATTTCAAATCAGTGAGAGAGATAGTAATGGAATTTTTAACCTTATTGGGAGCTGTTTAAGATGGTCCACCATTAGTAGCTAAAAGAAGAAGATACAGTAAGATCCAATAACTGACACTGACATTAGAGTTTGGCCTGTTTTAGGAAATGCAATTTAGATTGAATTTGAGATCATATAATTCAATGATCTGTATCTAACTGATAGAACTTTCAAAGTAACACTTGTAAAGAATAGGCTTTTTCGGGTGTATGTGAGTCCGATGTTTCGCCTTATCAATGGAGCTTATACAAGTAGGGAAGGTAGTGTTGTAGCGTTGACGAATTGGGTGATGGAAAATGACTTGAAAGCCACAACCTTTCTTTTATTCTTTTGGCTGCAAATCAACATACATATCTTTTCAAACTCGTGAATGATCTTGTTATCTATGCATTTCTTGATTTTGATGAATGTATCTCTTGTTTGTTTCCAGTTGAAGCAACATGAATACAACATCGACACATTTTGTTCCACAGAGAAGGTTTGAAACTTACGAGCCTCTCAACCAAATCGGTATGTGGGAAGAAAGTTTCAAGAACAATGGAGGCTTGTATACGCCTGGCTCTATCATAATCCCGACAAACGAAAAAACAGACAGCTTGGTACTTCAAAAAAATTTGTTATATATATCTCGGATAAAATACTCATTTGAATTCAGAAACTAATGCTCTCTTCAATCTTTGTTCAGTCAGAGGATACTTCTCATGGAGCGGAAGGAACTCCTCACAAGTTTGACCAAGAGGCTTCCACATCTAGACATCCTGATAAGGTAAGTTATAATATACCTCATTTGGTTTTATCTTTGTTCCATAGAAATTATGTCAGTTAATTCTTTATATCTTTACAGATACAGCGACGGCTTGCACAGAATCGTGAGGCAGCTAGAAAAAGTCGTCTGCGCAAGAAAGTATGAAACTTTATGTTCTGTGCAACTCGTATAACAGTTATGTATTTTTATGTTCTTGACTGAGGTATAAGTCTTGTGTTACAGGCTTATGTTCAGCAGCTAGAGACAAGCCGGTTGAAGCTAATTCATTTAGAGCAAGAACTTGATCGTGCTAGACAACAGGTTCGTAAAGAATATTCTTCTTCCTACTTCCTTCTTCCTTGAGTATCTTGTCGATATAATAACTTAGATCATAATTTTTCAGGGTTTCTATGTGGGGAACGGAGTAGAATCCAGTGCTCTTGGTTTCTCAGATAACATGAGCTCAGGTTTGAATCTTTCACCTTTATGTAGTTTCCATTATGTCTCTTTAAATCAAGATTGAGATTCGTCAGTTGTCCTTTTCTTGTTAGGGATTGTTGCATTTGAGATGGAATATGGACACTGGGTGGAAGAACAAAATAGGCAAATATGCGAACTAAGAACGGTATTACATGGACATGTTAGTGATATAGAGCTTAGATCGCTAGTCGAGAATGCCATGAAACATTACTTTCAACTCTTCCGAATGAAGTCAACTGCTGCAAAAATCGATGTGTTCTACGTCATGTCGGGAATGTGGAAAACTTCAGCAGAACGGTTTTTCTTGTGGATAGGCGGATTTAGACCCTCAGAGCTTCTCAAGGTAATAGAAAACCCTGTCACTAATCCATAGAATGTAAAGGTTCTTACAATGACTTTGGATATGGATTCCTTTTTGTTGTTGGTTAGGTTCTCTTACCGCATTTTGATCCTTTGACGGATCAACAACTTTTGGATGTATGTAATTTGAAGCAGTCATGTCAACAAGCGGAAGATGCCTTATCTCAAGGTATGGAGAAATTGCAACATACATTAGCAGAGAGTGTAGCAGCCGGGAGACTTGGCGAAGGAAGTTATACACCACAGATGACTTGTGCTATGGAGAGATTGGAGGCTTTGGTAAGCTTTGTAAATCAGGTAAGAAAGAAAGCTTGACAAAAAATAATGAGATTTTTAGGACAAGAACTGATTTCTTGAGATTGTTGTTGTAGGCTGATCATTTGAGACATGAGACATTGCAACAAATGCATCGGATCTTAACCACGCGACAAGCGGCTAGAGGTTTGTTAGCATTAGGGGAGTATTTCCAACGGCTCCGAGCTTTGAGTTCGAGTTGGGCGGCTAGGCAACGTGAACCAACGTAATTAAGGTGTTCAGACTTCAAGAAAAGATTGAGACCTTAAGAATCGAAAATGGAGTTTGCTGGTGAGTGGAATTTGGACAAGAACGAGAGCAATAACATAAGCTGCTTTTTTGGTGATGATTCTTGTCTTGCGGTTTAAGAAAATGTTTGAGGAAAGTTGTAAATATGATCAGTAACGAAAAGTTTAGCTTTTTAGAAACCAATTTTTCGATGGTTATCTTTTGTATGTAACATTATAGATTATATATGATTGGCTTGTGGTATGTACAGTACATGGTTTCAGTGCATATTCATCAAGAAACTGAACCTCGTGAAAATGCATAAACTTCTGTAACAATTAAATTGTGCTCAACAAAACATTCCCTGCAGTATATAGTTGGTAAACATGGTCAAGAAGATAGAAGAAAATATTAAAAAAATTAAGAGCCAAACTCAAAATGTTTATGTCAGAATCAATGGGATTAGATTTTCTTCTACCTTTACAAGGAAGTGGAAAAATAATCAACAAAAAATAAATGTGAGAACACCTGAGGATCCGAATCATCTGATCAAGCTACTAGAGAAACATAAAAACCAAGAAAGAAGAAGAAAAAAATGGGATGATGTGGTGAAGGGAAATCCATGGAGATTTACAGAAAAATTAAATAAAAAACAAACAAATCTCAGGCAGAAATTGAAGTAAGATGATCAAGAACTTGTCTGATGTTAGGCCTTTCATTGACAGAGAGAATGCACCTGATTGCAACAGCAAGTGCATCCTCCATCGCCTTTGAGAACTCTTCCCCACCTGCTATGTCTCTGTCTATGCAATCCATTCTCCTACCTTCTTGATCACACAACCGCACCCAATCAGTCAGATCTACAGCACCTGTTTGACCCGAGATTATGTCACCCGCGCTGCGTCGAGTCAAAAGCTCCATGAGAATTACTCCAAATGCATAGACATCGGATTTGAGTGTTGGTATTGGTTTTGATGCTGAGGAAAGTTCAGGAGCAGAGTAACCAAGTGCACTCATGTTTAGTATCTGTTCCGCTACACCAGATGGAGTCATCAGACGGTGAATACAATAATCGGTTATGCGCACAGTATTGTCGGGACTTGTTAGGATTATGTTTGTTGGCTTCAAGTTCCCGTGTGGCATTGCTCTATCATGAAGGTAGAGAAGACACTGAGCCACTTCAACTGCAACTTTTAGTCTTTGGCTGAAGGACATTGGAGAATACCTCCGAGGAGTAGTTTCTGCATAGAAAAAATTGTAACGGTAAGTACTCTTATGCTTCAAGGGTAGTCATCAAATGGCTTAATATTTGTTCAAACGAGATACAGAAAGTCTAATAATCGTAGGGGTTAAAAAGCTTCTAACCATATAGATGCATAGCCAAGCTTTCTCCTCTCAGGTAGTCAGAGAGGAGAAGTCTTTCTTGTTCTCTGGGACCCCAATAGTATGCTCGCAACGGGACAATGTTTGGATGTTTTAATGAGCCGATTTTTTTAGCTTCCCGTGCGAAATCTTTCTTATGCCTCACAAGTCCAACTCTCAACCATTTCACCGTCAACATGTGTCCATTATCCAGTGTTGCTTTGTACAGTGTTCCATGGCTGCTTCTACCTAGAACTTCTGCAGGAGCTCGGGATAATTCTTCTGCTGTGAGTTTTAGTGAAACGTCTAAGAAGAAGAGTTCTCCGGCCAATCGATCGGGTGAGTAAACATCTAACATCACAGGCTGATCGCTAAAACGGGGTGAGGAGGACAATGGGGAGCCTCCTGAAGAAGACTTCCGTCCAGATGCTGCAGGATAATCATCAAGGAGGTTAGGATTTGCAGCGGCTGTAGGAGCGGGCACACCCTGCTCGGATATTTCAGCTTCAAATCCGGGTATCCCAGATAACGACCTTGAATTTGCAGTGAGCAAGTGATCGTTTGAGAAGCTCAATGATGATGACGGGTGCTCAGCATTTGAGCTGAAGTTGAATAAGGAGGGACGAGATGAGCGTCCAAACTTGGCGTCTCTAGTCGTGGCTTGGTCTGTAAATCTATTTCTCCCATGAAAGTCCTTGAGCTGTGTTCGATGATAGGCAAACAAGACAAAAAGAATCATAAGAGCAGCTCCAACTGAAGCAACAATAATTGCTATTCTTATGCTACGCCTCGAGTGATGGTTTTTCCCAGGTATAGCCAGATCACCAGAAGAATCCGCTGGAATCCCACCTGGGAGACTTAGCTTGGAGTTACCAGGATAGAATGACGAAAGCGGGTACCTTCTCAGCTCTTCCGGAATTATGCCTGATAGGTCATTATATGATACATTGAATCCCACCATCCGGGAAGAAAGCTTAGCCGGAATTTGACCCTTAAAAGTATTGTTTGATAAGTCAAGGGACTCAACGTCACTAAGCTTGTTGAGGTCGCTTGGAAGCTCGCCGGACAGCTTATTATTGGCAAGATTTAGCACCCTAATTTTTTCCATTGTACCAATATCGCCAGGCAGCACACCCGTCAAAGAATTGGTTGAGAGGTCAAGCAACTCCATCTGCGGATAAAAACTTAGGGCCAAAAGTTCGCTTGCTCGTGAACCTCGAAAAGGAATTGGCCCCTCCAAGTTATTCATAGAAAGATTCAAACTTCTCAAGCTTTTAAAAGTGAAGAAACTCTGGGGAATGGAGCCACTGAACTTATTCGAGCTGAGATCAATCACAGAAAATTGAGAAACCCCTGAATCATCCCACAAGGATGGCAAGCTACCAGCGACAGAGTTATTTCTAATGCTCAACACACTTAATCTTGAAAATGCAGAAGTGAAGTTTGGCAAGTTTCCCGACAAGTTGTTTGAGCTCAGATCAAGAAAATCTGGAGTAGCTTCCCACTTTTGAACAACAGACACGTCGCCAGAGAAAGTATTCCCACTCAGATCTATCGCCAAGCAACTTTTCAAACTCGATGGAAGATCCCCAGACAGGCCGTTAGAAGAAAGATTCAACATATTTAGCGTTGTTGAATTGATTTCACTAATTGATCCTGCATTTTGAATCACAAAGAAACTTCAGACAATACGACACAAATGTCTAGTCAAGAGCAGGAATCAGTCAAATCAATGCACCATGACATAAAAATTGAGTAAGTCTATTCCTATATGCCTTAAAGTAGCAAGATTCAGCAATTATGGCAAAGGAACAATTGGTGTAAATTTGGAATTCACCTGTAAAACCATTTTGACTGAGATCTAGCTCTTGCAGTGGAATCGAACTCTGCAACAACTCTTCAGGCACCAAACCGAACAACTGGTTACGCGCAAGCTTCAAGACTCTCAGACTCGGCTGTGATCCAAAATGCGGCAACTCACCATTGATCTGGTTATTCTCCAAGTCAAGAATCTCGAGGTTCTTGAACGAAGCAATGGACTCCGCGCTGAAAAACTTGCCATTTAAGGCATTGTGGCTCAAATTCAAGTGACGGAGAGTGTTGGAAATGCTAGAAATGTTGTCCACCGATAGAGACAATCCGCCATGGAAACGGTTACAGCTCAAATCAACGAACTCCACATTCTTCAGCTCAGTGAAAATCTCTCCAACGTCTCCCCAAATCTCATTCTTGTGCAAATCCAAAGATCTTAGCTGCTGAAGGTTCCGGAACCCACTGGGGAACCCACCTTCGAACTTGTTTGAAGACAAATTGAGATTATTCAAACCCCAAAGCTCCGAGATCCGACCCGGGATTGGTCCATAGAATCCATTATCCGACAGATCTAAGTGCTGAAGCGACGTAATCCCACCCAGCGAAGGCACGACCCGGCCGGAGAAGCTGTTTCCGGATAAAGAGAGGTTACGGAGAGAAGTGAGACCGACAAGCGTGCTGAATTTGAGTTCGCCGGAGAGACCACGACGGTCGAGATTAATGGCGATGATTGAACCAGTTTCAGGGTCGCAGGAGATACCAGGCCAGCCATTAGGGCAAGTAGAGGGATCAGTGAGGCTGCTTGTATCGGACCACGAGATTCGTTGGTGCGAGGTCTCGTCACGGATCCCTTTACGGAACTCCAGGAGAGATCGGAGCTCCGACTCGGTGACGGCGTTGGCACCGAGGAGGAAGAGGAGTAGTGAGAAAGTGAGAAAATGACTCATTTAGCCCTGAAGAATCTTCCTACTCCACAGAAGCAGAAATGCAACACTGATTGTTGTAAAATGCAAAATAAAACCCTAATTAAGATTCATAGCTCTGAGAGAGAAGAGAGAAACAGTGAGACGAGGATTTAGGGATTGTACTCGGAATCTGGAAATTGAAAGAGGCGAAGAAGAGGAAGAAGAAGCAGAAGAAGAGAGAGAGAGAGAGAGAGAGAGAGAGAGAGAGTGTGTGTGTTTTAGGCTTTCCAAAAAAATCGAATTTTTATAGTATTATTTTTTCTTTAGTTTCTTTATGGTATGTCTTTAATTTATTTTATATTTTTCTTCAATCAAAGATTTAACAGTTTCCAATTTAAAAACAAAAAATCAGATATTTGAAAAACTTTTTATCATTTTAGGAATTATGAGTTTTTTCATTTATGGTATCTTTTCTTCACTCTACTTTACTCTCGTTAATGGAATCATTTGAAAAAAAAAAACTTTTGTTAATGGAACCTAATTGATTAGTGGTTACTATAGTTATAGGTCATGTAAATGTAATGTCACATATTATTACTATTATTTTTGTTTTTTTTTCGTAGAAAAATTGATATCTTTTGAATATTCTCTGACATTCAAATAAGAAAGCAAAACACACATAAATGACTCAAAAAAGGTGTTTTCGGAAAGGTTGAATTTTCATGTTTGAGTGGGATATGATAGATATGGAAACTCAAAAATCAAACTGCAGTTAAGATGAATTGTAAGAGCATCAGTGAATATTAATAATAAGGTTTACCTTCATGAAGACCTATTACTACTAATGTTCACTTATATTATACCTATTACTACGAGTTAAAAGAAAAAAAAAAAAAACATAAATTTTGGACACTATCTTCGGAATTAGAAGGGGGGATCATTATAAATTGAAAACGATTTGTTAGATGTTGTCATTAAATTTCGACACTAATTGCGTCAAGTCATAATCACTTATCAGTTATAATTACAAATAGTTTTAGGAAATACTACTTTACTAGCTGCTTAATGATACCAACAAAACCGATAATTACAAAAAAAAAAAAAAAAAAAAAAAACAGAGTATACCAAAATATTTGTTTAAGATATCCGAACAAAAATGGTTATTAAACAAAAATAAAAAGGAAAAGAGAGAGAGGGAGAGAAGTGGTGGAAGAATAGTATATGATTAGTTTAGAGATGAGTGAAAACAGACTGGAAAGGACAATGCCATGTCGTGTTTTTTTGAGTCGCTCTGTCTTTTTTTCTTTCTTTCGGACCAAACCTTTCTCACATCACATGCACCGGCGGACTTCTATAAACGCCGTTAAGTTCTTTGTCCGTACATTGCTCTCCTTAAAACGGGACGGGGAGACTCACAAATAGAAGCATCAACGTGTTGTGTGACTCTCTGTGTATCATCATCATCCATCATCATCATATATGACTCAATTACTACTACTTCTTCTGGACCGACCTGTCAATTTTTTCCCCTAATCACACATTACATTATTGTGTGTGTAAATTGACCCATACTTTGTTTCTTGTTTCACTAGATTACTAACTGGCAAATCATATACTTCAAAAACAAAAAAAGGTTTTAAAGAGATGTAAATCTATTTACGAAACAACAAACTTCATTATTGTCAACCTCCAAGTTGATAAAAATTCTTGATTACCCTAAAGGTTATAGTATATGTTCAGGTGGAACACAAAAGCTTTTTTAAATTCTATGGCACTGTTTCAATTTTATATTATATTCCCCACTTGGAATGCATATATATTATAGGGATCCTATCTCTACCTTGTCGCCTAATTTTAATGATATTAAACTATATAATTCTCGACGAGTCTATTTATTTGCTGCTTTTAGAATGTCATTTTCTCTAACCATAAAATGAAAGATGCCAAACTTATTATATTTTGTCCATCTCTCTCTCTTTTTCTTTATAAAAAAACCTTTATAAAATATATATAAATATATATACGGTATATGGGTCCATCAAAAAAATAATACCATTTTGTTATTGTCGAAACTTTTGACAGCTACAGTAGTTGAAATGCGACTGCAAATTATGAAAAACTTGAAGGGTTGAAATCTATAAAAAAAAACGCAAAGGCTGTCTCCAATGTACCGCAAAAAGAATTTGGTTCCCGCGACTCTTCTAAGAAGATCTCAAGTATTTCTAGAGGAGAGAATACATGCTCATAAATGTAAAAGACATTTTGTCGTTCAAACTTGTTTTTCTTTTTAAACTATAATAATAGCTCAAAGAGTTTCTGAGAGCACCTGTGACTAGATAAGTTTGAAGCTGCCAAGAAATAGCTATTCTGGGTTCTCAAAGTACTTCATGAGCCTTTCCATAGTATCGGTTAATGAACGGCGACTGCAAAAAAAAAAAAAAAAGAAGGAAAATCCAGATCATTCACATATACAAAGCTTCGTAACAACACCAAGATCAAAACCCTTTTTTCAATTACCCAGTTTCCTATATGTTCATACCTGGACACCAGAGACATCTGGTGTATCTGGAGAAGGCTGAGGGTAGAATTTGTAGAACTTCATCTTTTGAAAGGCTTGCTTAGTATCTTCACTCATTTCTTCTATTGCTTTCTTCCGGGCCTCCTTTGCCTCTCTGTTTGCTTTCTTTGCTGCTCGAACTTGCTCTTTGACGTATTCCTGCGTAAAAAAAAACAAACAATGGTAATTAGAGAAAATACTCAAGCGTCAAGAGCTGACAATTGCTTTAAAGCTCAAACTTACTTTGAATTCATCCTTTTGTTCAGCAGGTAATGCTTCTTCTTCAACCAATTTATCGACAAATTCCTGAGATAAATGCACAAAAAGCCATCTCATGATTCAGCATACAATGACTGATTTCAAGCACAACGGGAGGAGCAGTGCGAAGATGAACACTCTCGACAAGCACTTCAAGTTTAAATAGTTACAGAAAAGCCAAACACACACCTGAAGTTCGTCGAACTCCCAGTCAAATTCACATACAACCTGCACAAACAGAAAATTAAAGCTTAATTATTACGAAAATACCCAAAACAATGTGCCCCTACTCGACCATTTCATGTAGGCCAGCCAATTCCAACACATTCATTTCATGCCAGAAAACTTACCGGCGGTTCAGAGGGGAACATTATTTGGACCTCAGTACTCTGTTCAAGTTCATCTTCCTTAAAGGGTTGATAGAAATCTGCAACAGAAAACAAAACCAAAAACAAAAAAAGGGATTAGAACTTGTTGTTGCATACCACATACATAACAAGATAAGCATATGGATAATCCACAGCCAGCAGCCTGCCATGTGCTATAAATGGTACACTTTGCAGACTTAAATAATTTTTGTAGCAGATGAATGACACTCACAAGGAAGGCAATACTCAAACTTCTTAAGTTGATCTTCCTTCATATGTCTGAGAGCAGATCTGCAGATAATGTACAAGATAAATTGAGTACACCAGAACATCAATTTTTATAAACTCTATAAGTCATCTAACACAGAGAAGAGAAGACAACACGTGTTACTTACCTCCTCTGCGTACAGCCCAAGGTAAAAATTTGAGAGTTCATCCTATCAACTTGTCTATCTCTGCAAGAAGAACAAGGCAAAAGTAATTAGCAACTGCTGTTAAACATTAGAAGTAAGAATATCCCAAAAACAAACAATCTGCTTCTCTTCTCGTTGATTTAGGCCAACCCAGTAAATGTCTAACAGATCAACGTGGAACTCATAGTACCTTTTTTCAATTGGAATGTAAGGAAGCCAGTCCATTTTCATCTTCTTCATTGGAATGATTTCCTCCACTTCTCTCTGAACCGATGTGATTCCTATCTTATCAGAAGGCGGAAAAGGTGAATCAATCTGCATATACAAGATTGATGAATTTTAGAAAGAGAACTGATAAAGCATATCATCTTATATACAGAGATCATCGTAGCAAGCAAACTTTGATAAATAAAATATTTAACAAGAACTTACAACAACAACTGCTGGGACATGGACAATCTTGTTTAAACCTTTGTAGGGAACTAGTTGAGCTGTAACGTTAAAAAGAGAAAATTCAGGAACTCGAATCAAATGTTCAAGAAAAGGATGACAGCATACTGCACAGCCTGATAGATTTTTAACCAAACTAGAAAGAACCACAAGGGCCAAAGATTATTTAAACAAATCAAACCAATAAGAAGACAATAACAACCAAAACTCATAACAAGAAGAAAAAAAGGCAAGAGAAACAGCTTACGTTCTGTACAGCCAAAAACAAAGACTTTCTTCCCGTAAAGCTTTCCTCCTTCCTCCAATGCTTCCTAACAAAAATGAAGAAACATAAATATCAGATTCTCGCCAACCCCGGCAAATAAAGACTAAACAATAGAGAATGTAATCCTAACAACTTACCTCAAGATTTTTGAAATCCCAATTGAATTCATAAAGTGCATCTAATTGATCCCACTGCCATCACAATTCAACAACCATTAGCAAGAAATATATTGGATTCTCAATGGAAACAATATCTCTGATGTTGAAGCTACATTCCTCTCAAACTAATATACCTCAGTTCCCACTGGAAAAGCAACCTTCCACAAATCCTCCTGAAACACACAAAACAAGTGCACATATTAATTTGAAACTAACACAGCAGCAACAAGACAAGAAAACAAGCCATTTTATTTGAACTTCTAAAAAAAAATCCTGAAAAACTGAAGATATTCTCCAACCACTAACCCAGGCTCGCCATGGCATACCATATCTGACACAGGGAAGTAAAATAGCATACAATTGTTCCCAAAGATAAACCCACCAACAAAGTCATATCTTTCTTGCAACCATAACAGCTCCACAGTATAGGTTAAGTTATAAGATGAACATACAGGTCCAAAGACGTATCTCATTGTTGTTTTCATAGCGTATCTGCCTTATCATATCGCTTAACTAACCAAAACATACAGCAAAATGCCCCAAAATTGCATTTAATCAAAGTTGTAAATCCTAATCTGAATTCATTAATTAGCAAAAAGCATACCAGATTTCGCTTGTCCTCGAAGTACTCAGGCTCTTCCTTCACTTTGGTAACTCGGGGTTTCTTAGCTTTGGGTGCCGGCTTCTTCTCATCTTTAACCTCAGCTTCCTTCTTTGTAGCCCTCTTCCGCTTACCACCACGACGAGCAACAGGTTTCTTCTCAGCATCTTCCTTAACCTTTTTGACATCTTTGACCTCATCTTCTTCTTCATCTTCTTCTTCCTGATTCTCCTCCCCCTTCTCTAACGAATCGGGTTTAGCCGGTTCTTCCTCTTTGTCCCCCTTGGCCTCTTCCTCTTCCATTTTCCCATTCTCCTCGTTGACGACTTCTTCCTTAGGCTGCTGGCTCTCCTCCTGCGTCGTCGTCTCCTCCTGAGACTCAACAATCACCTCATCGGTCTGACTCTCCGCAACAGCACCTTTGCGACCTGCTTTGGAACCACCCTTTCTCTTCGCTCCTTTCCTCATTGCACAGACAGTAGTAAGAACAAATTGACAAAGAAGGGTAATTTGAGAAACCCTACTGGCTTCTCCGGCGAAGATAGCGAGAGATAGGGAGAGAGAAAGCTAGGGATTGATGGCGGTGGATCCGGAATTTCGAAATTTTTCAGAAGACACAAATTTTGGGGTTTTTTTATAATTATAATTTTGGTCTCTCTCTCTCTCTCTCTCTCTCTCTCTCTCTCTCTCTCTCTCTCTCTCTTTTTGTTGTTGTCTAAATGTTGCGTGATTTTAACGACCGCTCTCTTCAGGAAAAGGAAATAGGGTTTTTGATTTTTTTCACCAAAATAATTTAAGCCGCCGTTTGGCCAAAATAAAAATCTAAGGCCCAAAAACTGAAAATGATTTTTGATGAATTAATTAAATATTTTTTGAAATTTGGAATTTGGGGAAGTTTGACAATTCTTGTGGAGGTTTTCTTTAGTTCTTAGGTTTAATTTTATGAAATTAATTAGGTCTTAGATCTTTCAAATCTATTGACTTTTTCTTCTCATGTTTACTTTCTTTTTTTTTTTTGAGCAACCTTTCTTCTCATGTTTACTTAAAATTTTAACCTAGTTAGGGAAGTTTGTTAAACTATTAAGGGAAAGTTATAAATTTCTTAGAATTTTGTAAATATGATCAGATTTTAAATTTACTTTTAAGAATGAAATTCACTATAGAAAACAATTTCAAAAATTGATAATATTATAGAAATCTTAAAAAATGGAATTGTGTAAAATGATAAGTCATACATATCTGTTGTTTTTCTCTGACCAAAGAAGAAGAAAAAAAGGAAAGCATTTTATTTCATTCAGATGCTAAAAACATGTTGACTCACAATAACCAAAAGAAAGGTCCAAAACCTCTAGTGGAAGCCCAACGTTGTTCCCCTTATCTTATGGGTCACTAATGGGCCTATATATTGTGTACCAATTACACAGTGTGCATCTATATTTTGTACTCAGCTACTGAACAAGAACAACGATGATAGATTCACATATAGTATCATATTAGATGATAGATGCACATATATAACAACGATGATAGATGCACATATATAACAACGATGATAGATGCACATATGCACATATAGAATCATATATATACACACACTGGACTAGTTTGTAACTGGAATCCGATTTGAAAATTTTGAATAAGTTATATATTATTATTAGTTGTTCGAATAAAAAAGACACTAGTACATTAACTATATTTTATACTCGACCGTTCAAAAGCCTGAGGCAAGCATGTGTAAACTCATATAAGATCGGTTTGTTTGTGGGTGTAAACGACACATTCTTCTAGTGGTAGTGCGATGCACGTGAGGATGTAACCCTTTTGAATCTGTTCTTCCTCAAGAAAGGATCCTAGTGACTGATCCACTTTCCCCGACACCAGCTTCCCACAACAAGTCCCACAAGTCCCTGACCTACACGAGTATGGCAGTTCTAATCCCGCCTTCTCTGCGGATTCAAGTATGCAACAATCTTCGTTTCCTTCTATCTCGTGCTCCTCACCCTCCGGACTGATCAGCTTCACTGTACGAGACGCTTTTGCTAACATCATCTTCGGATGATAATTGCCTCTCGACGAAAAAGACAAGCCATAAGGTTTTTTGAACCTTATTGTAAGCTGAGCAAGTGATGGTGGTGCTAAAGGGGTTTTTATGATGCAAGAGAGTACTTGATCCATCATTGCTTTGGCTTTGGTCGAAATAGTAAGTACGTAAGAAAAATGTATCAAATCAACTTCGTATATTATACGGTGTGGTTTGTATTTTATACATCAGCCTGAATAACATATACCTCTGACACGTGCATAAAGAAGTGCTACATGTACTACGCTCACATACCTCTAAACCGATGTGGGACTGTTCCGATTTATTTATGACGCAAAGGTAGGTGGTCAAATCGGTTCAATACATAGTTATTGGTTTCTTTAACTAAACAAATCAGATATAGAGGACTTAGAATGCAAATACTGTTATTTTACATCTTGCAGCAAATTTTCTCACTGAGACAAAGCCATTGTTATCGAGTCAAGCTTTTACCAAGCTCAACCATTCAGCATTCGCAATGATCTTACCTTCGAACTTGCAATGTTCCAAACCTATAATCTTCGGGAATCCGATTCTCCACCACGGATTCATCGATAAAAAACTTTCCTTTCGCCGCCGGTACACTCTCCGACTAGCTTCGCCGATTTCGCGATTCGCGAAGGGTTCAGACTCAATCGCGTCTTCTTCTCCTTCTCCATTGTACACAAATCCGCAGGAGCCATCGATCTCTCCCCAATTAACGTCGTCCGTGGGACAGCCTCCTCTCCAACTCTCTCAATGGACATTCACACAGAAGCACTTCGTCTTGCTCAATGTCGTCGCTTGCATAGTAAGCCTCAATTCCATACTCCAATAGTTGATTTAGCTCTTGGGTTTAGGTTTTGATTCCAATTGCTCAATAAAGATCTCAACTTTATTCACTTTGTAACAATCGTCAGTCATTATGTGTTCTGTTTATACACTTGCAGACAGCAATTTCAGCATCGTGGCTCTTCTTTGCTGCGATCCCTACTCTTCTGGTTCATTCTCCAACATTCTACTTATACTGATTTACTTATTGATAGATTTTGAAGTTGATTTGAGTTCTATATACTTTGGTATGTTGACAAAAAAAAGGCTTTCAAGAAAGCAGCTGAGTCTCTTGAAAAGCTTCTGGATGTAACTAGAGAAGAGCTACCAGATACAATGGCTGCTGTTCGCTTATCGGGCATGGAGATCAGTGACTTAACGATGGAGCTCAGTGATTTAGGGTTTGTCTCCACATCCCACCATGATTACCAGTTTCTTCATAGTCTCTTTGTAACTCTTTTAATCTCTGTGTAGCCAAGGCATCACTCAAGGTGTTAAAAGCTCGACACGAGCTATTCGCGTAGCTGAAGATAGACTAAGACGGTTAACAAACATGAATCCAGGTTCAGACATCACTTCTAAACTCGGTTTTCAAACTTTAGACTTTCACTGTTAACTCCATTTTTACCTCATCAGTAGCTTCAATGCAGGAGGTGATTCATCAAACCAAGAAAGAGGAAAAAGAACCAATGGTGGCTAAAAAGGCGAGGAGGTTCAAGGAAGGGATCGTTAAAGGACGTTCGTTATGGCAATTGTTCTTCACAGTCACTCATTTCTCGAAAACCACCACAAGTTATCTTGCAAAGCGAGCTAAGAAGTAGAAGCCTAGAAGGTGATCATCACTCAGATCCCACTTTTCACTTGCCCTTTTTTCAGAATTCGAGTCTAGCTTGAGTCTTACTAGTTTAAGAATCTATTTTGTAGATATGGAATTGTAATACTGATACCATTATTCTTGAGAAGCAAAGCAAGTTTCGTTTAGAGTAAACTACTAAACAAGATTATCTAATTAGACATCAAGACTCTAGCTAGCTACATGTCGTAGTTGTTAACTCCACCTCGTTTTCCCGAGCTAACCGGCTGTTTCCTTATCCGTCTACCCATTAGCTTGAGACCCCTCGTTGTAGTTTCAATAGATGATACTTCTACTTTCTCCTCCTGCACCACAAAAAAAAAAAAAAGGTAGCTAAACAGCAATAGAAGAAGAAAAACTATACAGAAGAAAGAGAGAGAATGATCAGTTTTACATTTCTTGGTTTAGCTTTCGCCATGTCTAAAGAAGAAGAAGAGCGCCTGAATCTGAGACACTTGATGAAAGCCTTCACAGGTTGAGGCATGAGATTGCAACAATCTTTTTTGTGATCTTTCTCTGGCTGCATCATTCTCTGTCTTACAATGATCTCTCTCTCTCTCTCTGTGACTCACTCAAATTTTTCTGGTGCTACCAAAAGATCACGCATCTTTTAAACGCAACTGTAAAGCGGCGAATTAGATCCATTAAATTGTGTTGCTCCTCTTTTGAGTGGCAGTCTCTTTCTTTGTTAGAAGATGCTAGAAGGAAACCATCGCTTTGACAAGTAGTATAGATTATATACAATCTTTTTCTTTTGCAAATTCATTGATGCAGTTTCTGAGAACCCTGAAGTTCGATTGAAAAGATTGGTTACCTAGAGGTTTATGTTTTCCCAAATCCAAAATACCTAGTTAGTAACTTTGTTCAAATTATGTAAAGAGAGTCTCGGGTTTATATCCTTAATTTACATTCCAAATTTTCAAATCTCAACCATATTACATTCGAGAAGCTACACATCACGTGAATATATAGCGAAAGGTAATAAATAGAAATTTTCTTATTTACGTAATAACACTATTAAATTGGACGAGAGAAACTATAGTAGCAGTCCCACCTCAGCATTAAGTTTTCTTTAGATATACGGAGAGTGAGACACCACCACATGACTCTGCACACTATACATGCAAATAATTTCCCTTTTTTAAAACCAATTTTGCTTATGTTTTCCTCTCTTTTTTTTTATGATAATGTATTTGGATATACATATTTCGAGGTAAGAGATCGAATTGATCGGTTATATATAGTTCATGTTGTGTTTGGTTATCTTTCATGTTGTGTTTGGTTATCTTTCTTTTTAAAGACGATTTTATGATCTTCTTATTTCTTATACAACTCGATCCTCACTAGAAAAATCTTATTATGTCTTAAGAAAAATAAAGGAGTCGTAGTCGTAGGAGTAACAATCTTCAGAAATTATTCAAAATACGAATATCAAATTATACAATACATTATAAGTAGAAAAGACAATGGGAAGTGAAGAATTTGTCTCCGTAAAAACAAGAACTAAATATCTCTCAACTTCTAGTTTTTACGTCCAGGCTTGCCGGAACTAACTTCTCTCGACTTCTGCACTACTTTCTTTGGTTTCGCAAATGACCTCGACGACACTTCCACAACCTCAACTTCATCTTCCTCCTTTATATTCGAAAAATAAGAAAAAGATTTATCATTCAATCTTTATGATAGAAGCTGATGGGTGTGATGTGTCAGCACAAGAATTGAAGATAATCTATTATCTATGAGGTGTCAGCATCAAATTTCATTTTTTATAATTCTTATTTCACCAACTCCACCATTTTATGTCTACATCAGATTATCTCTACAGTTTTATTATAATTATTTAAGGTTTTTACATCACTATAATTTTTATAACTTTTGGGTCATTGGTGAATGATTTGGTAACAGTTTCACCAATCACATTAACTTTCGTAAAATCTTTCAAAGACAGTAAAACATATCACAAAAAGTAAAAGCTTTTTTGTTGTTTTTGCTAAAGACAAGATAAATTATCTCCATATTTTAATTAAAAATTCCATATTAAAAACATGGTACATATCATATACAAATAGCATTACAGATCTACTTATTTTCTATTGACTTTTATTATTAAATCCATCAAACATGATAATGGTTTCAAATGTACGCGAGCCGACTCGAAACAATTGTAATCAAAATCAATCTAGTAAATCCAAACAAATTAGTTTGATACTTTGATCAAGCCGACTCGAAACATAGCCATTATGAAACTCGTCAAATCAAACCAATCTAAGTTAATTTTTGTTATAAGATTATGTCCAGATAATTAATGGCTAAAAGTTTTTCTCATTTTGCAAAAGCCATCTAATAAAAAAGAACAATAGAAATATGGAAGTATAATATAAATCCATTACTAATATAGTTGAGTTGGAAACCTATAAAATTTACTACAACCACAATAAACCGACAAGAAAAGTTACATTCAAAATCTTTGCAACTAAATTTTCATTGAGTAGTCCGCACTAGCCACGGTCTAAATCAAACTTCATCCCAGTATTCGTTATATATAAAATACACGACTTCAAAGAACTCATCAATATATATGTTGAGGAAAACAAAACTATATCATTTTTGAGGAAATAATATACATATGTTGTGCTAGGAATCTCATAAACAGAGAGGACGAGATCTAGCTGATACAAAAAAAAAAAGGTTATATATAAAACAGAAGTTACTTACCGGCAAGCAGTGCTGATCAGAAGAAGGAGAAGGCAGACCAAAGAGCTTGAGTAAGAGAGATCGGAAAGTTTGGTGAATGAACTTAAAAGGGATCCAAAGATAATAAGAAACTCCTTCTTCTCTCTCCATCTCTTCTTTTCTTTCTTAATTCTTCTGCTAAGTGAGAGAGCAAGTGACTTGGAGTTTACAATATATATAATATAGCTCATCAGTCGTATTACACTAACTTACTGTACAATGATATTATAAGATGGTAATTATATACTATATGATAACCTAACTTAGTCCAATAACAACAGCTCACTTGGCGCGTCTTTTCGTATTATTGCATGTTCCTATCAAATGGAGTACTATTATTTTGTTTATTTTTTATTTTCCTCCATTTCCAATTTCCAATGTTATAATTAGAAGAAAAAGAAAAAAGAGCCATGTGTAAAATGCAGGAGTATATACTCTCATGTGCTTTACCCACAATTTTGTTATTACTATTTGATTGCTTCGACCAAATTTTTGACTGGTCTACTTCTCAGTTTCTTACCCCTTAAATTCAATTTGTTTTCATCGAAAAACATTTCAGTATATATATAAAACTGATTTTGAAGACCCGAGTTATAAATCTTCTTCTTATCAAACTATATGTTATATTATCATTGCAGTATGAGTACTCTACAATGATAAAAGTTCATTGTACAATGATAGAAGTTCGTTGCAGTATGAGTACTCTACAATGATAAAAGTTCATTTGATATATAGTTTTACAACTCTACTTTGTCTTCTGATTCGTAATAACTTTGAATATTAAAAAAAAAAAAAAAAAACTTTGAATATTCTGGCTTCTCTCTTTTTTTTTCTTCGAGGGGTTCATGGAGAAAGTTTTGGAATACGAACATCCATAATAGATGGTGACATGGAATATGATTTTGAAAGTATAATTTTTACTGGGGGATAGACGCACTTTTTTTTATTCGATATAAAAAAGAATTTTAGTTTATACTTTATAAAAGAAAATAATAATAATATATAATGGAATATATTGGTTTCGTACTAATGACCCATCTCTTTAGAATTTGGGATGCTCGATATGCAAATGAAAAGAGATCCATCTTTATAAATAAAAACAAAAAAAGGTTCTCATATATAAAACATACGCTTATTATCTCTGGTTCAACACTTCTTTGATCAATATTTCAACTGTTTTCAACAAATTAAGACATATTTCAAAATGAATGCGAGTGTTTTTAATCAGCAAAAAGACTTGGAAATTGGTCGTAGACTCATCGTCAATTCTCACCGCTTCTTAACCATAAGTCAAACTACCAAATGGTAGTTGCATAATTTCAGTCTTTTATTTTTCTTTCTTTATTCTCTATTGCCCATTTGTGAAATCTTTTTATTCACAACTTGGCCAAGATCTGAAATTCTTGCTTAAATCGCCACCATGAGTATCATCCTTTATTTATTTCTCTTACAACTTTCATACATCACTAAATATATGTTCATATATTTTCTTCTTATTTTACGAACGAACTCACAAAACAGTCAAGTTTCACATACATTCACGCAAAAGAAAACACATTTATAACAATATACATTAATAATATACGCATAAGAAGAAAATGTAAAAAGTAAAAAGACTTTCTCGAACATATATATATATATATACCAACAACTAATTCAAATTTGACGTTGACCTTTGTTGAACTGAAGACACGTGGAAGAAGAAGTAACTAGGAATGTGTCTTGTTGGTACCTCCACGCTTCCCGGAACTCGTTTGCTGCTTATTCTGTCTCGCTCCAACTTTCTTCGACGCTACACTCCTCGAAGACACTTTCACAGCCTCTGTCTCTTCCTCTTTTTCTTCTGCTATCTTCATGCATGATGATCACCATTATTATTATTATTCATACACATTTTTGCGATGAGAAAATTCATATAGGAAAGAAATTCTGATATGACACATAATTCAGTAAGAAAAAAGAAACATTCATCTTGTTTAAGTTGTCGAGTTATGAACATGATTCATATATAACTCAAAAATGTTTACAATCACGGAAAATTAAATTGTATAATTAAAGAGAAACTCCGAACTTACTATAGTCAGATACTATAAATGTTTTTTTAAACCTAACTCGGCAAAATATTAAACAGATCATATTCCCCATTTTAATATACTACTGTATATGTATGAAGATATATGAATTTCACGTTCAACCGAAGCTGAAACAGATTCAAATATAATAAGTACCAATGACTTAACTGCTACTGTCTATTACAAATTTACAATTGCTTTTGATAAGTGATCATAAACTTTCCATAAATATATTTTGACTAAGAATTGTTGATAACACATAGTCATATAAATATTAATTACTCACCGGAAAGTTATCAGGAGGAGTTTGAAGAACGTGAAACCTAACGAGAAACGATCGGATGATATCGTGGAAGAAGTTGTAAGGGATGCAGAGATAAGAGCAATAACTATCTTCTCTTCTTCCCTCTCCTTCCATCTCTTCTTCTTCTGTTTTCTTTTTCGTTCTGGTTACAAAGACACTAGCTAGCTAGCTAATTGGGTCATTAATAGAGTTCAAAATCACTAATCATTTCTTCTTAGTCAACTTACAGCAATTAACTACGCTAAGTTGTTATATATATAATACATGGTAGGTAAGTATATTAGGCTGATTGTAACAGCTCATCGGTCGCATCTGTTCTTATATGGCATGTTTCCCGTTTATGATTTGATTTGTTTACGTACTTGTGTAAGAAAAAGTAATCAGATTGACTATATACTCGTCTGTGGGGATCATCATCACAATATAAATCAAATTTGATACGTGAAAACAATCCATAATACTGATAACAATAAATAAATATATATATATATATAGTAACACTAAATCATCATAATATGATTAACAGGGTCGATTAGTCTTATCATCAAACGATTTTGCAGCTTTCTGAGTCATCATTTAATATGTGTAGAGGCGGATAATTAAAAAGAGCATGAAGAAAGGCAAACACATGCGTATGAATATATGTATATTTGTTAATGTTACACATGTAATTAACAATACGATTCAAACTTTGACTATTTAACACAATAATTAGGGATATTTGATTAACACATAAAAATAAGAATATAAGATACGACAGACGTCGACAGATATGTGATATGTCTGACGCTAAGGGAAATAATAGGCCGCGTAATTAATAATTATAGTCGTTCTAATCAAAAGTAGCCATTTTAATATTGTCATAAGCTTTTAAAAGTTTCTTCACTATTCTCAAATCGCCAAAACTTTCCAATGCATTATTATATATTGGTGACTTTCTTGAGTCTTCTTCAATTCATCCGTATACATAGACCGATAAAAGTAAAAACTGGAATTTAGCACAAGCGAAACACGTGGAACTATAATTCAATCGGTGGGGAACTGGGGATAAACCTTTCAAAAAGTGAACTACATTCACGCATTGAGGCTAAAACAAATCCTAAAATGTAAATTAAAACAAAAGAGACACATATAGTAAATTAGTAATGTGATGCTGGTCAATGACTAAAACCGTGGGGTCTGGTTGCTGCATACGAAACAACCAAACTCTTAAGTCCGAGAAGGCGAGAAGGAACATGAACCAAATCGATAAGGAAGTCCAGAAATCATATATACAGTCTACAAGGAAGTCTAAACTATACAGTATATTATATATAGCTAGTTATCCACAGTCGGAAGCTTACACTAGTTCTTTGACTAGTTAAGAACTAATGTCCACGCATTCAAATTAGTACTCTGAGATAGGGCTAATTACTATACGGCTAAGAATCAATCAAAATTTTAAAACTTCAAAAGACGAATATATTTATTTTTATAGTGCCATGCATGTGAGAGTGAGACAGTTCGGACCAGTTTAATTATACTCCTGCAAGATTTTGTAATGAGAATTGGTTTGTTTGATTTCTCGCGGTAAAGATAAATTTTAGGCTTATTGGGCTTATTTAAGTTATGGCCCATGATTGAGAGTTTTGCATACGGCTGTGAAAATTGAAATGGGCCTGAAACTCATCGTCAAACCCAAAAAAATCGAAAAAAGGAAATGTTGACAGTGGGATTTGAACCCACGCCCTTTCGGACCAGAACCTTAATCTGGCGCCTTAGACCAACTCGGCCATATCAACTTGTTGTTCACTATCTGCATATTTTAAACTATAATATATAACTTAGAGAAACATAAAACAAGAAAAGGAAATTAGTAAATAAAATACACTAATAAAAAAGAGGGTGGGGGATGGGTCAATGTCACCTGAAGAATTGTCGGCTGCCCCCAGCCACTAACTTTGAAGCAGTGAGAAGTCAGTGTCTGAAAATGAATTGTGAAGAGACAAAGACACGAGCTGAGTTTCAGAGATACGACTCCATGCACAGGTTTCGGTGTGTCTTTTTATTTTTATTTTTACAAGTAGAGAGATCTGCGACGAAACCTATGACTTCTCCTAACTCCATTCATTATTTTACTTCTCTGTTTTTTTTCGTTTTCCTTTTTGTTTTTTTCCTTCATATTGGGTAAACTTTATAGTATAACTTTAAGAGGACCATGGTTTTCCGAGGGATAAATAGTATAGACCTCTAAACGGATCAATCGAATCTGATTAAGAAGATGTCAGTAGGTTCTTGCTTTTCCAAGCTTATCGACAAGTTCAACTTAGTTCCACTCTCATATTTTTTTACGTCTTTACTCATTTTCTTTTAATCACGTAATTGTAAGTAAATCATAGAGCTTAGTGTTCAGTTCAATAAGCCAATTTTGCGGATGTTGTTGTCATAAATGTTTTTAAAATTTTTGTGATTATACTAGTCTATGTTTTTGATTTATATATCTCGTACTCGACAACAAATCTAATACCAAAATATTATGTCATGTAAATATCTTATTTCATTAGAGAGATAAACGCAACGTCACTGTCTCTGGAAAAGTGGAAATCCTTCACGATCATAAATAGCTTACTACGGGCCTATTTATTTTTTGTCCAGCAAAGTTAACAGGTTTTGTCTTAACGTGGCAAAGTTAAATCAGTTCACTGGTTTTGATTTCCTAATTATTTTCCACCGACAGATCAAACACACCAAAAATATGTGTGTGTGTGTGTGTGTGTGGCTCCATCCCTGATCAATCAGAGCCCGATTCCATTGCTCTTGTCCTTGTTCTATGCGATGTGTTCAATGGTTTCTCTCTGATCAATTACAAGATATAGCAGATATGTTTTTCATAATGGGTGTGTGTAATATCGAATAGGACATGCAGTATATGGTTTATCTTCTCTTACAGGGAGCTTCACTCTTTTTATCTTTAACTCTAGTTTCATTCCTCGTTCTTTAAATCGTATTCGTTAGCTAAAAGTTAGAGTCGGATTTAACAAGTTAATTTGTTTGTATGTTTTTCTCCACCGCTTTGATTTGGTATCTATGTTTTCTATTTTCTATCAAGGTTGAGAAACATTATATAGACTATGACAACACAATTTCATAAATATATATATTAATGTTTATATACATTAATGACTCCATAATATATCATTTGTATTGCCTCATACTCGCTCCATTATTACAAAATGACAACAAATTTTTGGATAGAAATTACCGAGTCGATGCCCCAAATTGATTTAGATCGTCCATTTTATAATTATAGCACAACCATCTCATTGTGTTGTCCACGTCCCATCCGGTTTGTTTATATATTGATCACTCTTCCAAAATATCTCATTTTCGCTAGGAAAGAAATTTGTGAATATAAGTACGTACGGCTAGAAAGTCATAGCAATTCGAAAGACCAAAATTTATCCTCTTAGTCATTACTCAATTCATTTAGACCAGCTCTAAAGATAATGGTACATTGATGATACTTCATATCAAACCCAATAACTAATTATAATTATATCATTAAAAAAAAAAAAAAAACTCTCGATGGAATACAAAAAACGGCAAGCAGTCTGTAATCCATACCTCTCGACACAAAGGAAAAAAAAAAAGAAAACGAAAGAAGGGAAAACGTTGACAAAAGTCAAAACCAGAAATAACTGTTTTTTTTTTTTGGAACTTAAAACATTTCCCTTACGACGGCACGTAACGGATGCTCCATCTCACAAGAAAGCTTCAAGACTTCACCAAGATCAACTGGCTCGGTCTGATCCTGACACCACTCGAACCGTCGCACCAACTCAGCCACCCACCGAGTCACAGTAGCTAGCCCCATGTTCTTTCCCGGACAGACCCTCCTACCGGCTCCGAAAGGGGCGAGCCTTAGGTCCCCACCACGAACATCCACGTCATCATTCCCGGTGAACCTCTCAGGGTCGAACTTGAGCGGGTCGGACCATACCCTCTGGTCGTGAGTAATGGCCCACATGTTGACCATTGCTGTAGTTCCCTTTGGAATAACCATGCCGTTGCTTAGCCGTACGTCTGACGTTGAAAGACGAGCCCACGAAAGCAGTGGTCCAGGAGGATGCAACCTTAGAGTTTCCTTCACGACTGCGTTCAGGTATGGCAGTTTTGCTAGGTCAGCATCTGCCACTTCCGCGTAGGCGCTATTGCTCACAGCCGTTACAATCTCGTCCCGTAACTTGGTTTGAATGCTGGGGTTTAGTACTAGCTCCGCCATGGTCCACTCCGTTAATAACGCTGTTGTATCTGTCCCTCGAAAGATCATCTCCTGTATAAATAAATTACATTCAAAATAAATAGAAATAAGCACAGTAAATGCGAAAAAGGCAAAAATAAAATAAAATAAACATTACAACTAGGTAGACCGTTATATATACCGTTAAAAATTAATTTGACCACTATTTCAATTTCATACGAACTTATTTATTTTGTTGGTCTTAGTGTTAAGAGTTTCATACGAACTTACCCACAAAACAGCGATCATGTCATCTTCCTGGAGCTTCTCATCACCGTCTAAAGACAACAAGACATCAACAAAATCTCCCATGTCTGTTTTCTTCTCCGAGGTACTGACTCGGTGTTCGTCAATGATACTCTTGACGAGGGTTCTGATTCGAGGAACAAGATCTGAGCAACGTTGCTTTAAGCGAATCGAGTCGTAGAAATAACCAAGCCATGGGAGATGATCGGACCAATTAAATGCACCCAAGAGCTCGAACCCTTCTCTAACCATTGATGTAAGCTCATCAAGATCCTCTTTCTGAGACAGAGGGTCGTATCTTCTCCCAAAAACACTCCCCATGATGTTGTTCAAGGCGGCTAGTTGCAAGTGTTTCCTTAAAACGACTGATCCAGCGCCGTTTTGCTCCGCTGACAGAGCTTTCACCATTTCAGCGCAGTCTAGCTGGCGCCCAGCTTCGTGTGCTAAGATACGCCGAGGAGCGAATAGGTGAGTCGATGCGATCCTTCTTAACGTGCGCCAGTAAGCCCCGTTTGGTGCAAAACCTATGGCTCTGCTGAACATGAGGCTCTTTGCCGACTGCTTAATCGGGCGGTCCGCGAAGTAAGGCGACATCAGAATCTCCCGAGCCGTATTCGGCTCAGAAGCCACGACAACTGGAGTCGATCCGAGGCTGAAAGCCATAATCTCAGTGTTGGCTCGGCTCCAAGCCATGGCGGCTAACGTCCGATGAGCCAAACCGTGACTGAGAGTGAAAAGACTGCCGAATACTGGGATGCCCCGAGGACCCGGGATCATGACCCGACCCATCCGGTTACGGCCGTTCTTCCATGCGCCGCCACCGCCTCCGGCGAGAGCCCAAGTGAGTACAGAAAGAGAAACCAAGGCGAGGAGGATATAGCCGAGGACGGAAACATCATGTAGGTTTTGGGATCCAAAAACGGCAGGCAGTGCGATCATCCAATAGCTCGATTCTTTTGAAGCCAATTTCATCAACTCCATCTTTCTTCTTTTTTGGGTGGATGTACTTGTTTCTTGTCGAATAATGAACAACGTACGTACGAACTAATAATAATAACAAAAGAACTTTGATCTGTCGTAAGAGAAAGTTATAGAATATAGCAAACTTTTTTAGTATATGAGAAGGTAAGTCCTTTTTTTTTTTCTTTAATAGAGAGAAGTACTTGGAGAGGAACAATGGAGAAGTTGAAGGTTAAGGTATATCTATTTATATAACTATATATAAAGCCACATGTATTTTTTTGGCAGCGTTGATTAAATGCGTAATGCATGGGAAGAGAGACGTCGGTTTTGAAATGATTATATCTATGTGTATGTATATGTAAAAATGATGACTTTATAAATTTGGTTAAGGTTAAAAATTGTGAGAGAATCACGTGGAGGGAGGAGGTGAGTCGCATGAATTGGTTTGGCGTTGGATGAAATGAAAGATATGTGTGTGTGAGAAGGGCGTTATGATAATGAATTCGGCATTTTTAAATATTTTCATAATTAGCAATTCAATTTCGTTTGCACCGTTTTTTTTTTTTAATGTTTTCCATGGGTTTTGTTGTGTGCATCGATGTGAGTTAGAAGAGGATTCAATGAGGTTCGTTAAACGGAAAAAGTAAATTTAATGAGTACGCATATTTCGGCTTAGGTAACACGAAAGGACAAACTAATTGAATGTGTTCTTTAGAGAAAAAATCGGTTATGGAATGAGAGCTTAAGAGAGTTGTGACGTGCAACGAGATACTTGCCCTAATTATGACTTATCTATTTTAATTTCTATTTAATGACTTTTCAATAGATTAGCAATACAAACTGATCATGGTATTCTAATGATATATAGTAGAATCTAATGTTTGAGTATTTTAGTATAATTATGTAGATTATTATAGATATATTTATTTAGTTTTAGAGTTCATTTGCTGAATGAGTATTTATAAAGTTGAAGAGATATAGTGATTTCTTTTTACAGTATATGAAACTATAAGTCGGTAAAAGAATTCGGATAGCAAAAGAATAATTACTAAACAGACATCGGTTTTTTATATCACAACTCAAAAAACGCAAAATGATTTATATATTCATCAATATTCAACCACGCTCGGTATTTTTTGTCTTATGTAGAAATTATATTAAATAATAGATTTATCGGTAGATCGGTGTATTAATAAACTAGTTTTTTTCCGTTAGATCATCATAGTATAACTAATCATCGATCGACATCTTTTTGTCTTACTTAGACTCGACACCTTTTTGTCTTACTTAGACGATATATGTTAAATAATAGATTTGTCGATTATTAATAGAAATTTTTTTCCGTTAAATCATTATAATATATGTAATCAGGAATTGGCATTTTTGTCTTATTTAGACGTCTATTAAACAATAGATTTATCGATCGATCAATCATTAGAAAATTAGTTTTTTCCCAGTTAAAACATTATAACATATCGATTTATTTAATTTCAATCATTATTATTTAACTAGAGTAGAATGTAACATTTGAGTATTTAAGTATACTATGTAGAGTTTCAAAGAATTAAATGTATATATATATATATAGAGAGTTCATATTTGATCAATAATTTTTTAAAAGTTTAAGAGATAAGGTGAAATTTCTTACAACTCAAAAACAAAATCGATATAAGTATTAGGATAGCAAAATAGTAACTACGAATAGACATTATAGGGTTTTCTATATAGATCCCTACTTAAAAGAATCACATGATAATTTATATATTAATCTACATCCAATATTGTTTGGATTTCTTTTGGCGATTATTACAAAAACAAAAAGAATTTATCGATCGATTGATTATTAACGAATTAGTTATTCCCGTTAAATTATTATAACACATATAATTGATAGTTGATCACAAGTTTTTACAAACAAAAATATAAAGCATCACACCAAAAAAAATATATATATATATAAAGCAACCAATGGTTTACGGATTCAAATCTTTGAGTAAATGGTGTTAAGACATGGAAATGGTTTCCGATTTTACCATGCACTCAATATTCGCTTATATATAATCTAAGCGACACAACATATCAATTACTGAAGAAAGCGGCTCAAGCATCAATAAACAATCAAAATTCTATAAATCGAATTCTAATTTATATTCATAATGTGTAAAAACAAAATTGCCTATTTTGAACATCTATTTCGAAAATGATGTAGAGATCATTAAATTTATACTTTTAATACTAAAGCAAAATGGCGTTTCACATTTGCCTTTACGAGGTATACACATAAATCCTTAATACGAACAAAGGACTAATCAAAATCACATTAAAAAACCAGTAAACGGAACGTCACATGCAATTTGTATGTTGCATATTTCTAGCTCGTCGTTTACCGTTTTTTTTCTTCTTCAGATAATGTTCATGAATATTTGAATAAAAAGCTTAACAATAAATTGGTGAACGTTAGAGGAATCCTGGGTGGAATCTTAGGTTGCCAGGCACCAAATCATCCATTCTTCATGCTTAGCATATTACATTAGGTAAGAGGTTCGAATCTCAACATCCATCAAAACGTTACCTCTGCATGGAAAATGAACCATAATGATATTGGTGCTTATCATTTCGTTTTCTTAAACTAATAATGTAATAAAGATATATTTTATAAAAAAGGTCAAAGAAAGGGAAAAAGTGTGAATGGTGAAGAAGGGAGGTTTGGCAGGGAATGGGGCGGTAGACAAATAGGAGTAAATGATAGGGAGACATGAACCATCCCAATGTCCCCTAAGTACTCAAAGTACATTGTACCTTTCTCTATGCATCCTAGAAATGCGATCTTTGTTTCACAATCTTTTAAAGATTCAGGTACAACAGCCATTGATAATATATGTGTATCTATCTAACACAATAAAACTAAAACAATCATATGCATCTTTACTGAGCTAAGTATGGTTTAAAGGGCACGATAAGTAAGCTATAAGCAGCAAGATCTCGACAACCCCAATATTGTAAAGTTAATGCCCCAAGTGAAAATCATAAAACTATCATATGAACGCTTTGACCTCACCGACAAGTTTTCTACAATGTTGGCTCAAACTTGTCAGTGGAAATCAATAAGTTTTGAAGAGAGTCCGTCTGATTTGGTCAGGACGTTGTAACCCTTCTGACATTTTGGAAGAAAGAATTGGAAATGGCTTTGGTCGTCCATATGTTTTGTATTGTGTACGCAAGGAAAAACAATGTAGAAACATGATCAATGAGGATAAATCAAATATCTGACTTAAGATTATAACTTTTACTCTAATTCCAAGTAAAGTTGATGATATTAAGTCCGAGATTTTTTTATATTTTGAATTGACATATTGTCACAAAGTACATCGATGGACAATTTTTGGTGGTGTTCTAATCGGCTTATCCTGAAATCTTTGGACCCCCAAACCACTATCCCACTAGCTAGTGGGCTATCAAGAAATTTTTTTTCTTTCTGTAAGCATTGATATTTCCATTTAGAGCATAATTTTTTCAAAAATGCGATTAAAATTTGGTTTTTCATAAATGTTACGAGAGATAACCCTAGCTAAGGCAGGTAGGGACATGAAAGTTGGGCTGAAACAAGACTAAACATATGATGTTGACAGTTAGACAATTTCGTCATCTCTCACGATAGTTGTAGTAGGGGCCAACTCTTCATATATTTAAAGCAAAATATAGACTAGACCGATCTCTGTCCAAAGACTTAAAGAAATGCATGTGTTTTCTTGTTTTTTTTTGTTGTTGTTGTTGTAATCAATGTAAATTTATAACATTATCAATCAGTTTTGCTACTCATCCAAGTTATTTCAACTGCAGAAAGTTAAAAAATCCTAAACACTTAAATCCACAAACCAAGACTCATATCGAGTTTAAACAAGAAAAAACACTTTGGATCAAGATAGTGCTAGTGCAAAATATGTATATGAAATTATGAACGATGTGGATATTGTCTTTTATGAATCACACAAGACGTAAACTAATTAAAGCAAATACGTGTATAAGTGAATGTTTCTTTGAGTCTTAGACGAAAATGAGTCCATTGTTTAATCAAAAACATGCCCATTAACAACATTAAACGTAGATTTTGATGCAACTGGAATTACTTTAGAACATCACGCATCATATACCTTCCAACATTTATACTCTTTTAAAGTTTTAATATATAAATGCTAATGTGCAACATAAAGTGAAAAACTTACACTGAAGCATAGCTAAACGTTCGATAATTTAGAGTTTTTCCGTTCTGGCAAGTAACTTTGTTGGTTTTGGGCTTTTAGGACCGTTTCAAACTTATCCAAATTGAGGCTTATTTCCTTACTTTTGTTTGTCCACAGGCCCATGCGTGGTTTCAAAAAAGAAATCACACCAAATTCGAACAATAAACCCAAGTTTTGCTGCATTCCCATTAATCCACTACAAAATGTTTATTTCAAAATCACCGTTTTGTTTCACTAGTGAAGTTTTGGACCAACGGGCCTTAAAAGTTTATGAAGCCTGCCATATGTGTGTATTGTAGACTTGGAGTAGCCAGTAATATTGTAGTTGTAAATCGGATCAGGTCCATGTTTTGCTACAAGTTTAAACTTTAAAGCATACTCTTACTAGCTTAGTTGTTCCTTGATCCTTTTCTAATAGACTTCCAAAAAAAGCACAGTAGAGGAAAAGTGAAATGGATTGAAACACATATAGTAAAGGGTCATCAGATTACATTTCCACATTCGAATCACACAAGTCAATAATGAAACTGCTCCTTTGCTAATAATAGAAGAAACCTTCAAGCCTTAACGCAGCAGTTGAAGCAGCTGAAGATGCTTCTCCTCGCCTGTTCCAAACAACCACACCAAATTATTATCTTTGTGATCAAAATCAAAGACCAGCTCAATTACTATACTATATTCAAAATATAAGATATAGGTTGCAAGAAAATTTGGACCCTAAATTATAGATAGATTTCGTTGCAAACCATGTGCTAATGCCTCATCATCTAAGACGTCTTAAAGACAATAATGCAAATCTGAATAAAGAATAATATCATATAAAACGCAAATGCATAAATTGTGTGTTGAAAGAGTCTAATCAAAGAACCAAGAAAAAGAAAATAAAAAATGGTTTGGAATCTTACAGAAGGAGAATGAGGTTGGTGATGGTGGATGGGAGAAAACTCTGGTTGGTTATTGCTTTGGACAGTGGTGAGCTTAGCAGTTGCTGTAGCTGAATCGGGTGGCTTAATGAGCTCATCCTCGTTGCCTAAACTGGCTCGAGAAGGGTCTCTTTTGTTTTGTTTCCTCATCTCTCTAATCTTGGTGAAGTCCATAGAGTAGTCAGGCATTGTTCCTCCTCCTTTCTGGTCCCAATCACCAAACTGTGGCACTGATAGCCACGGAGTGTTCTTCTGCCCAAAAAAAAAAAAACATATTCGAAACAAACATTAACTACACTCCTTTGAAAGGTTTCATATTTGTTTCACAAGACATAACTAAAAACAGAGGGATATTTACAAAGCGATGCATCATGAGGAAGAAAGATGAATTATCAAAGAAACAAAAGCCAAGTTCTCGAAATTTATGGGACAAATTCTAACAAAGCTTTGGTTTAATCAATGAATCAATAGAATCCGGGGTAAAGTATGATCTTTTCTTTTATCAATCCAATAAAGTTTCGAAACTACCAAGAATTAGTAGAAAATATGCCTCGTGATAACAAAGTCTCAGCTATCGAGATATATACTCTACTTTCAGATTACCAAGATGCTGAGTTTTTAATTAAATCGTCATTACAATCACTATCAGTAGTGCTGGAGCTTGCTAAAGCTCTAAAAAAACCATGTTCGATTCCCGACAAAATCCAAATAAGCAGATCTTGATTTCTTAGTTAGAAAACACAGTTTCCTAAGATAAAAAGAAGAAACAGAGAAAGAATAAAGAAGAAGAAGAAGAAGAAGAAGTGTTAATACCTCTTTTCGATCGTCCTCCATAATAATATCTATCAGTAGATAGAGAGAACAGAAAGATTGATTGGTTCTTTTTTCCTTAGCTAAATATGAGTCCTAGCAAAAGAGAAGATGGACAGACCAAAATTCTTTAAAAGCTGCACACACAAAAAAAAAAAAGAGAAAAATTGTGAAATTATTATTACAGCAAAAAAACAGCTCGATTTATACCAATCAAAATCATTTTTTATTTATTTATTTGTGAGCAAAATGATAATAATGGTATATACGGAAAGTCCTAGGTAGTCTTCAATATTCACGAGAATGCCATTTACGACTTTTTTAAAATATCCTCTCCTTTAGCCTTGTTTAGGTGTTATGTCGGGGGCATAAGTGTACTTTTACGTCAACGACCGTAGGTCTGCATTGGGCTCATTAATAAAGGCTCATTAATAAAGCCCATCATGAGAAAATCTGGGTCCAGTGAAACGCTGTCATTTAGATCAGTTAACGTCCACTGACACTGATGATGAGAGACTCTGTTGTATGTCTTGTCGCGCGAAAATTCAATTTTTTTTTTCATTCTTTCTGGTTTTTGATTTGATTTGGCTGTCCTCATGTCGTTTATATTCGTAAGCCTTCTCCATTTAACTTAAGTATGCTTGTCGATGTCAGAGTGCTGAGATTTATAATGGCTTAATTTTGTTCCTCTTTCTTTTGTTCAGAGCTGCGTTGGACATAGAAGAGGAGCTGCTAAGCTCCTTCATTCCCATTTATATAAGAATGGGTTATGCAAAGAAGTCTACTTGTGCAACAATCTCATCAATGCTTATCTTGGAACAGGGGATTCTGTCTCTGCACGTAAGGTGTTTGACGAAATGCCTCTCAGGAACTCTGTTTCTTGGGCGTGTGTTGTTTCCGGGTATAGCCGTAACGGGGAACATAGGGATGCTTTAGTTTTATCGAGAGATATGGTTAAAGAAGGGGTTTTTTCAAATCAATACGCTTTTGTTAGTGCGCTTCGGGCTTGTCAGGAGTTAGATTCTTCTGTTGGGATTCTTTTCGGGAGACAAATTCATGGTCTGTTGTTTAAACTTTCCTATGCTGTGGACGCAGTAGTTTCTAATGTGCTCATATACTTGTACTGGAAATGTGGAGGGTCTCTTGCTTATGCTCTCCGTGCTTTCCATGACATAGAAGTTAAAAATTCTGTATCATGGAATTCGATTATTTCGGTTTATTCACAGACTGGGGATCAGATATCTGCGTTTAAGATGTTCTCTAGCATGCAATGTGATGGTTCTGCACCAACTGAATACACTTTTGGTAGTCTTGTAACTACCGCCTGTTCTTTGACTGAACCAGACGTTAGTTTGCTTGAGCAGATCATGTGCACCATCCACAAATCTGGTTTACTCTCAGATCTTTTTGTTGGCAGCGGATTGGTGAGTGCGTTTGCAAAGTCTGGCTCATTAAGTTATGCCAGGAAGATTTTTAATCAGATGGGAACAAGAAATGCAATCACCTTAAACGGCCTAATGGTTGGTCTGGTGCGACAGAAATGGGGGGAAGAGGCAACAAAGCTCTTTATGGATATGTATAGCACGATTGATGTTAGTCCTGAGTCATACGTGATTCTTCTGAGCTCATTTCCTGAGTATTCTCAAGCTGAGAAAGTAGGTCTGAGAAAAGGCAAAGAGGTTCATGGACATGTAATAACAGCTGGATTAGTTGACTTAATGGTTGGCATTGGGAATGGCCTTGTTAATATGTATGCTAAGTGCGGCTCAGTATCTGATGCTAGACGTGTTTTCTGTTTCATGATGGAAAAAGATTCTGTCTCCTGGAACTCTATGATCACTGGTCTTGACCAAAACGGCTGTTTTCTTGAAGCAGTGGAACGCTACCAAAGTATGAGACGACATGAAATCTTGCCTGGAAGTTTCACACTGATTAGTTCACTAAGCTCATGCGCGAGCTTGAAGTGGGAAAAATTAGGACAGCAAATTCATGGAGAAAGTCTCAAACTAGGCCTTGATTTGAATGTTTCGGTTTCAAATGCTCTTATGACACTATATGCAGAGACCGGCTATCAAAATCAGTGCTGTAAGATATTTTCCTCCATGCCAGAGCCTGATCAGGTGTCTTGGAATTCTATAATAGGAGCTTTAGCTAGTTCAGAAGGGTCAGTACTTGAAGCTGTGGCATGTTTTTTGAATGCGCTTCGAGCTGGACAAAAACTTAACAGGATAACCTTTTCAAGCGTTCTTTCAGCTGTGTCATCCCTTTCATTTGGTGAACTGGGCAAGCAGATACACGGGCTAGCGTTAAAGTACAATATTGCAGATGAAGCAACAACTGAAAATGCGCTCATAGCTTGCTATGGAAAGTGTGGGGAGATGGATGGCTGTGAGAAGATATTTTCTAGAATGTCAGAGAGAATTGATGATGTAACTTGGAACTCAATGATCTCGGGGTATATACATAACGACCTCCTTCCCAAGGCCTTGGATTTGGTCTGGTTTATGTTGCAGATGGGTCAGAGGTTGGATAATTTTATGTATGCGACCGTTCTTAGCGCGTTTGCTTCGGTTGCAACACTAGAGCGTGGCATGGAAGTGCATGCTTGTTCGGTCAGAGCTTGTTTAGAATCTGATGTGGTGGTTGGAAGTGCACTTGTTGACATGTACTCCAAATGTGGAAGACTAGATTATGCTATGAGGTTTTTTAACACAATGCCGGTAAGAAATTCATATTCTTGGAACTCAATGATCTCGGGCTATGCACGACATGGGCAAGGAGAGGAAGCTTTGAAGCTTTTTGCAAATATGAAACTCGATGGCCAAACACCACCTGATCATGTTACATTTGTGGGAGTCTTGTCAGCTTGTAGCCACGCGGGTTTGGTTAAAGAAGGGTTTAACCATTTCAAATCGATGAGTGATTTTTATGGTTTAGCTCCTAGGATTGAACATTTCTCATGTATGGCTGACTTGCTAGGCCGTGCGGGTGAACTCGATAAGCTGGAAGATTTCATCGATAGAATGCCAATGAAGCCTAATGTTCTCATCTGGAGGACTGTACTCGGGGCTTGTTGCAGAGCAAATGGTCGAAAAGCAGAGTTAGGGAAGAAAGCAGCAGAAATGCTTTTTCAACTGGAGCCAGAAAATGCTGTGAATTATGTGCTACTTGGTAACATGTATGCTGCTGGAGGAAGATGGGAAGATTTAGTAAAGGCGAGAAAGAAGATGAAGGATGCAGATGTGAAAAAGGAAGCTGGTTATAGTTGGGTCACCATGAAGGATGGAGTCCATATGTTTGTTGCTGGGGATAAGTCACACCCAGACGCTGATTTGATTTACAAGAAGCTCAAGGAGCTCAATAGAAAGATGAGGGACGCAGGTTATGTGCCACAGACAGGATTTGCGTTGTATGATCTAGAGCAAGAGAACAAAGAAGAGATTCTGTCCTATCACAGCGAGAAGCTCGCTGTAGCTTTTGTTCTCGCAGCACAGAGGAACTCTACGCTGCCAATCAGAATAATGAAGAACCTCAGAGTCTGCGGTGATTGCCACTCTGCCTTCAAGTATATATCAAAAGTCGAAGGGAGACAGATAATCTTAAGGGATTCGAACAGGTTTCATCATTTTCAAGACGGTGAATGTTCGTGTCGTGATTTCTGGTGATACCATGAGTCTCAAAGGTATGAAGACCATCAAACACAAATCGAAATTCCTTTGAAATGATTTATTAATGTATGTATATTCTATTTCTTCAGATGATTTTACTTGGATTCAGCATTTATTGGCTTAAACCCTTAAACCAGTGTTTTCCTCCTCTGCGAAGTTCAGATACATCAAATCAGTGAGTTTCATACAATATGTGCATTTCATTCTAATTTCGAAAATATGTGGGAAGTAGCTCACGACTCATATGACACTATATTCAGTGGAATTTTTCCAACTCAAAAATCTTGATAAACAATTGCAGAACCTTGGATGGCCCTTCCCTTATTCTGGATAGGTGAGTTGTGTGTTGGAGGAGCTGCAAGTGCCTCTGAAAGATGGAATTGTCTGTTCTCGAGGTTTACAAAGATGAGGTAGTTTGCTCATGTCTTTCAGACATTGATATTTAGCTCTCTGAAAGATCACACTTAGTCTGTATGTAGATGCAAGTTTTTAGCTTATGTTGTTAATGAGGCTCTAAGAGTCTCTATGTCTTGCATGATGCGATGAAAATTCTAACTTTATTTTTCCTTGTGGATTCTATGCTCAGTGCTTCAAAGGTCTGAACGGGAGTCACGTAGGTAATGTTTTCGCGTAGCTGCATCATGGAAATTCTCGATGGCTAGTTAACATTGTAAATACTGCCTTTCTCTTGAGGTGATGTGGTGGTTTTTATCTTACATACACCCAAATTATGCAGCTTCGCCTAGTGTCTGCTTCTGGCTCAGCTTGAGGCTTCCACCACACAAGAAAATCGAAGAGAGTGGTTAAAGGGATGCAGCTAAAATTCACTAAGCTTTTTCCTTTTCTTATTCAATATAATTCTCATCCTTTCTGCTCTTCATATAGGTTTTGAGGCTTTGGCTTGAAAGACAGATCCTTCTTCAAAACTATTATTTTCTAATGATAAACATAGACGAATAAATAAAAGATAACGTGATTTATTTGATTGCTTCAAATTCTTTCTAACAAAAAAAAAAAAAAAAAAAAAAAAAAAAAAAAAAAAACAGAAAACATTGCATGTAACGAACCGAATAAAACAAAACTCCAAGCGGGACTTATGGCATCAAGCTTAACCGCGGCATTTTGACGGAGGAAGACCGTTTCCGGATCCCCGGACCCAAATCCAAACCACCATAATTCCATTTTCCGATAGTATTGCTTAGAACCGGTCTTTGACTCAACATTTGAACCGGAGGATTTCTCCATTTTGGAATCGGACCGGTTAAGAACAATGACTCAACCAACGAGCCAGCTTCAATGACAGCTTGCTGGAACTTACCGTTCTCCGGCAAGACTCTTCCGAGTCCTATAATCTCCAGCACAAGGGTCTCAAAATCTTTCGTGTGCTCAAAACCCATCTGATTCGACCGGAAGCTGTAACCATCAGAATCGTACGTCTCCGGCGAGGAATAGACTGTTGAGTTCGAGACAAGATCCATCGTCGACGCAGACGAGATTCGCGACGGAGAATCGTCGGAGAAGTTATTGTAACTATAGTTCTGATGATCGTCTGTGGCTTCTGAGTAATAATGGGGTATCTGTTGTTCTTCGGACAAGAAAATGGTGTTGAAGTGTTCCTGTAATCTGGTGAGTTCGGCTAGTGAATGTTTCAGATGTTCTCTTGCTTCGTCTCTTTCTTGGACAGCAAGTCTCCATAGATGATAAAACTGCAGAGTTTTTTGGTACATTTTTTTATATATGTGTTCTTGAGGAAAATGCTCTGCACAAAGTAAAAATTACATTTTTAGTGATGATTATTAGATTACTTCTTTCATTACTGGAATCAAATGTACTTAAAAGAAACATTTACCTCAAAATCAAGATGCTTCACGCCAAACCATCCACGAGTTCGATATTTTGTTCTGTAAATCTAGCTAGAACGACGAAGAGAAATTAAGAAATGTAGGGTTTCATTTATAAGTCGCTAAAATTTATAATAAATCAACTAAGCGTCTATGCATTTATGTTTTATAACTAGTTTTTTCAGTGTTCTAATTAAATGTCCACAATTCTTAAGGAAAGTTTATATGTTCTTATCGCGTATGTGATTTTGGAGAAGATCCTACTGATTCACTTGCACTATATATCAATACATAAAGGTGATCTGGTATTTTTGCCAACCTCTATATAAGGAGATAAGACATTCCAATTAGGGAAATATAATATTTGGATTAATTTGTTCTTTCTTAAGAGTGACATAGATTTATTACTTTTAGATTTTTTGTACGATTTTGAACGAGTGTGGGTATATTGTTATTCCTAGTGTTTTTTTTTTCTTTCCTTAGTTTGAGTTAGTAGAATAACTAATGCACAAATCACCCATTCACCAATAACTAAATTACTAAAGCAATTGCACTCAGAAAAGGTGCACAACACAAGATGGGATATGGTAAAGTTTTGAAACTTTAAAATGAAGTTTAAAGTTTCGACAACCTCCACTAAAGTCTTCCTACGAGAATCAAAGTCTTGACCAAATTGAAATTGTCATGCCAAATTATTTTGACCTTCAAATTAGTGTCCGATTTGTCAAACCGGCCGGTGACGTGATAATCCAAACAATAGTTATGTGGTTTGACACGTGGAAGTTTATGAGCCTTGAGCTTCACATGCATACGTGTGTGTTTGTGACACTTTGCTCACGTGTTATAGAAGCCTCGAGAGTTGTTTTTGCGATTCTTGTTCTGTTTTTGTTGTCTTAAAAGTACATTTTTAACAATCGGATCTGTTCGTTGGAATCGTTTGATGTCTACAATACTGAAAAAATGGGTTTAACGACGAATCTCCATAGCCTAAACCTTCGTTCGACCTTCTTCTTCACTAATCCACTTCCGTGCCCTACACCATTCTCCCTGAAACTATCCTCTGTTTCTAACCCTAAACGAGTAATCTCCAGTATCAGAGCTCAAGTTCCTTCCATCAGCTCCGATTCAGAGCACGAATCTCTCTTCTCAACTGAAGAACACGATCAGAAAAGGATCAGTAAGCAATCAAACAATGGTGCGTCTTCGATTTCGTCCGGAGTGAGACTTGAAAACATTAGCAAGAGCTATGAAGGCGTGACGGTGCTAAAGGATGTGACTTGGGAAGTGAAGAAAGGTGAAAAAGTAGGGTTAATCGGAGTCAACGGCGCAGGGAAGACGACACAGCTCAGGATCATAACGGGTCAAGAGGAACCTGATTCAGGAAATGTGATTAGAGCAAAACCCAATTTGAAAGTCTCCTTTTTGAGTCAAGAATTCGAGGTTTCGATGGGTAAGACAGTGAAGGAAGAGTTCATGAGTGCGTTTAAGGAAGAGATGGAAGTATCGATGAAGCTTGAGAAGTTGCAGAAGGCTATAGAAGGATCTGTTGATGATTTAGAACTAATGGGAAGATTACTAGACGAATTCGATTTGCTGCAGAGACGAGCTCAAGAGGTTGAAGTGGACTCTATCGATGCGAGAATCAGTAAGCTGATGTCTGAATTAGGATTTGTGTCGGAGGATGCAGATAGGCTTGTGGCTTCGTTTAGTAGTGGATGGCAGATGAGAATGTCACTTGGGAAGATTTTGCTTCAGGTAGGTAGTAATGAGAAATGTAATTCTTTTAATATTGAAGCTAGCTAAGCTAATGTGTGAGTATGTGAACAGAGTCCAGATTTACTGCTTTTGGATGAGCCAACGAATCATTTGGATCTTGATACTATTGAGTGGCTTGAAGGTTACTTGAATGAGCAAGATGTGCCTATGGTCATTATATCACATGACAGAGCGTTTCTTGATCAGTTATGTACCAAAATTGTGGAAACTGTAATGGGCGTGTCAAGGACTTTCGAGGGTAATTACTCTCAGTATGTAATTTCGAAGGCAGAGTGGGTCGAAGCTCAGTATGCTGCTTGGGAGAAGCAGCAGAAAGAGATTGAAGCAACAAAGGATTTAATTAGTAGGCTAAGTGCTGGAGCAAATTCTGGTCGAGCTTCTTCAGCTGAAAAGGTAAGAACTAGCAGTAAAAATTAGTACTTGTGAGGCAGAGGATGAGTTTATACTTACTTCTCTTGATGACAATATAAACAGAAACTGGAGAAGATCCAAGAAGAGGAGCAAATAGAGAAGCCATTTCAGCGGAAACAAATGAAGATCAGGTTTCCAGAATGTGGGTTAAGCGGAAGATCTGTAGTCATTGTTAAGAATCTTGATTTTGGTTTTGAAGATAAGGTGAGATGTTACATTAGAAGACTAACATTATTTTGATATTCCTTTATTTGCTTGTGTGAGGCCTTGTGGTCTGATCTGTGTGTCTGATGCAAGCAGATGCTATTTAACAAGGCAAATCTAGCTATAGAAAGAGGAGAAAAAATCGCTATCATTGGTCCGAACGGGTGCGGTAAAAGTATACTATTGAAACTGATTATGGGTTTGGAGAAGCCTATGAGAGGTGAAGTGATACTCGGAAAGCACAATGTATTGCCAAACTACTTTGAGCAGAATCAGGTTAGTTCTGTCATGAATAAAGGGCTTATTAAAGGAATCAGAAATATCACTTTTACTCACTTATTGGCTATAGGCAGAGGCTCTAGATTTGGATAAAACTGTGATTGAGACCGTTGTTGAAGCTGCTGTAGATTGGAGAATTGATGATATAAAGGCTCTTCTTGGTCGCTGCAACTTCAAAGCTGACATGTTGGATAGAAAGGTCTCTCTTTTGAGTGGTGGTGAGAAGGTAACATAATGCCTATTTCTATCCTCAGTATAATACCCATACGGTCTCATTCACGTTCGTCATCGCCTTTTTTTCTGCGGTCTTAGGCACGACTTGCATTCTGCAAATTTATGGTGAAACCATCCACTCTACTTGTGTTGGACGAGCCCACCAATCACTTAGATATACCTTCAAAAGAAATGCTCGAGGTTCCTAATCATACTCTTCTCTTTCTGTTGACCAAACTGTTTCCTGGAGGTTGAGTCACTTTCACTTCTGATTTTCTGATTCCTTATTTCCATCAGGAGGCAATAAGTGAATACAAAGGCACAGTCATCACAGTCTCTCATGATCGATACTTCATCAAACAAATCGTTAACAGAGTTATTGAAGTCAGGGATGGTGGTTTAAAGGACTATTCAGGAGACTATAACGTAACACAATCTCTTTCCTAGTTTCCTCTTTAATACTTTTGCCGCATTTGTTCATTCTAGATTGTAACTGTTTCTCAGTATTACCTGGACAAGAATGTGGAAGCTAGAGCAAGGGAGTTGGAGAGGGAAGCAGAATTGGAAGAGAAAGCTCCAAAAGTGAAAGCAAAGTCAAAGATGTCGAAGGCTGAGAGAGAAGCACGGAAGAAGCAAAAGATGAAAGCGTTTCAAGCTTCTAAAAAGAAGTCAAAGTCCAGCAAAAATGCCAAGAGATGGAATTAAAGCTTCACACGTAGCTTTAGGTGTAGCATGTATATAGTGTGTATCCATTACTCAGTTTAGTGAAAAGAAATTGCTATATATCATTAGTGAAAAGAAATTGCTATATATCATCGAAAGCTTGGATCATCCACTGTAAATTACATTCATTTAACATAAAAGCATCTTTCAAGAGATTCTGGGAATGAAAGCTTCTATAATTTCAGACATGGAAATTTAACTCCAGAGACATTTGATCAGACATCAGCTGGGGGCCAAGTATAAACACCCAGCTAAAAATGTTATTAGTCTTAGATCTTGAAAAATCTTCTGCACTACTCGAATCTCTTGACAAGGGAGAGATCATTGAGCATCTTCTCAATTGCATCATCATCATGAGCTCTTCCTTTTGTCTACACAAAAGACAAGCTTACACTATCTCAAAAGTACACTGACATAACAATACTATTAATCCTTTTGAGATGATCTGATCTCCACTGAATAGAAGAAGTAGGATTTTTTACCTTAAGAGAAGGAACCATTGCCACTGCTTCTTCAACAGTTTCAGGACAGAGATTGCCAAGAACACAGAGCTGTTCAATAACGACCAATGCAATGTTTTAAGTCTTGAGCCGAAACGACTAAATTGATAACAAAAATCCAATCTCAAAAGATTTTCTTACCTCAAACTCAGTGAGTTGATGCCTGCTCAGTATTCTATTAAAGTTGAGTTAAGGTAAACAAGTTAAGGTAATAGGGAATTAAACCAGTGTCTGCAAACTCGAGATTCATCGTTTAGTGCTAAGAAAAAGCAGAACTAAGATGCAAGCATGACTATGAATCAACTAAACTCAGAAAAAGGATACTCTCGAACTTGTCTAACAGCATCTGGATTCTTGTACCGGCTAAATCGCTTCACATATTGCAAGGACTTCTCAAAGACTCTGCAAGGAGTTAGCATAACTTCTTCAACAAAAAATTCACTAATCCAGAAGTAACATATAAAACTGAAAAAGTTCTTCGATTCTAGTATACAGAGGATCTTTAGGAAACACAAAAGTAGTAATACTTACTGAGAAACTTGATTCATAGGATCCTCGGAGACTTGCTGAAGCTGTTCATACTTGTGCTCGAGGATCAACGAGACTTCACAGTTCATTAAGCACTTTGCCTTCAGAAACTCTATTGTCAAGAGATAGAAAAACATCAATTCAGTGCGATATCCCAAATTTTTAAAAAGAGATTTCAATAAAGGTAAGCTCAATTAAAATTCCAGAAACAAAAAAAAAATCGTATCGCATTAAGATCAATTCGATGAGAAAAAAAAAAAACCCTAATTTTGAGGTACAGAGTCTTAGATATGGAGAAGAGAATAGAGAAATACCATCTCCGATCTTGAGCTCGGCGGCGTTCTCTTCTTCTTCTCCGGACATGGCGACTACCAACGAGGGAAATCGAACCCTAAGGTTTATTTCTCGTTCGTCTAATAACAGAAGTGATTAGAAATTACAGACCAACTTAACAATGTTTTTCTCCTTCACCAGTTATATAAGAAATATGCATAACTTTATAACTCAGAAAAAGGAAAATTACAAAGGAGGTTTATCAGATAATGGATATGGTTCAACAATTTCCTAATTTATGTTGGATTGGAAATATAACGTTGTTATATTATTGATTTATATATAAATATATATTTTGTAAATATATATAGTCAAAAATGTATATATATATATATAGTCGATTATCAACTCGTCAAATAATATGACTAGATCCGTACTCTTGCTATAGCATCTGTTTATATTTGTTATACATAATTTTGTATATTTTATATTTAAAATCAAAGTTTTAATATGTTATATTAGAAAAAAATCTACATTTTTATTTTTATATGAATGATATAATAAGTTATTTCTTTCACACAAATATAATCATATAAAGATGATAGGTGAAGTATAATAATTAATAACAAATAAATATGGTAAGTTAGATATCAAATCTTCTATGTTTATTTTGATTGGTCATTCATTTTAAAAAAAGTTATTAATATATTTTCGTTTTATTATTAATTTCATGCTTTAAAACCTATATAAGTTGTTATAGCTAAATAAACGTATTTATCACGTAACAAAAATTAATATACTAAATTTAAGATCATATTACAAAAAAAAGAAGGAAATATTATTTCTCCACCTATGCTTAAGATGAAAAAAGAAAATGCGTTTGCTTTGCTACCAAGAAAATCGGTATACACATCAAAAAAACAATTACAGAAATTTGGGGTTAATTGTTGATCTTAAAACGTGATGCGGCTGCCCCGAAAAAAGTCCAGTTGGCTCGTCGAGTCTATACTTTTTCTTAAGGGGTCTCTTTGCTTCTTCTCGACCAATCTCGCAACGACGACAATGACAATGCTCCTCTCGTTCTTCGTCTTCTTGATCTGTCTCACTCTCAACATCATCCATTGCTTCACTCCATCTTCTTTTTCTTTCGTTTGGTTCCCGATCAGTGTCATTGTTTTCAAGTTGTCGGATCTCTGTTGCCATGAGGGTTTCGAACATGTGAGTAAGACACTCGTCTTCCTTGAACAGATTCAGAAGAGACCGTAAGAGTTCATCTCCTTGTAAACGTCGGGACGTAAATTGTTTCAGCAAGCTCAGGTATTGCTCGAGTTTCTCTTCACTTAGTCTTTCTCCGATGAACTCTGTTATATACAAAAAATGTTGCTTACATTGGGCTTCCGTCAATTCCCCTGTCTTCGTATTCATCTTTCAGATAGATGCACACAATTTGTTTTTGTTTTTTTTCTCTTTCTTACGATTTCTGCTGAAGAAAGATGACTATATTTATAAGGAACCGAGTTGTTTTTTTTTTTCTTTTACATCTGGATAAAATCTAGTTGCTTACAATCGTATCTTGTTTAGGTTCAAAATTCTAATTTGATTGGGATTTATAATTCTCAAGAGTTTATTCATTGGGAGTTTATATTTTTAACCATGATTTAATCATTATCACATAACTTTTGCTAAAATAAAATTAAAAAATCCAAACATTATCACATTTGTATAAATTAGAAAAAATAACTTCTTTTTTTTTTGTTAGAGGCATTCAAATTAAAGTATGAAAAGAAATGTTTAACAGAGCTAGGGAGCCCGAAGCCCAACTATAAGAATTATAACTAGACAAAGCTTATTACGAAACCCATTTAGTTTGAAGGGAACCAGAGTTGAACCAAAGAGTTGGGATAGGACCAAAAATACGGTTGGGAGATTAAACCCACTCCAACCCCACCTTGCGTTGTCAGTATAGATGTTTGGAGTATTACAGAAGAATCATGTGAGATTTTTCTACGTGTTTAAAATTTCAGACATTAATATCCATCCCGTTTAGACCTGCCATTACCGGTGTTGCTTTCCTCTGCACTGGAAAACGAGAATCTAGGGATGGCGTAATTGTAACGGTCAGGTGGTTGCTGCGGATAGAGTGTAGGAGGCTGCGTGAGGTTATGTTGCGGTACTGTGTTATACTTGTAAGGATCTCCTCCCCTTAGGCTGCAAAAGTCACAAGAAACACACGGTTGTAAAACCTGATTACAGAAAAGATATCCGAATACAATACCGGATTTTTTTTTTGATGATGTTAATACCTGCTTGTTCTTTTATATAACTGATCTTCATCACTTGTGCCTTCATCTAACCACTGAGAATGTGCAGGGGAAAGAGACCATGCTGAAGAAGACGACGGTAGCTCGTCTGAGAAATATCTTCTTCTAATCAGCTGGAACACATAAAACGTTCATTAGGTTGAAGAGACTGGGGGGAGAAAGAGAGAGGGAGCTAGTGTAAAAACATGGAAAGGTCGAAATAACACAAACCATACGGAAGAATTTGTTCACAGCTTCTTTGTCATAACTAGCTTCCTTGGCAGCCTGTGCATAGTCTCACCAAAATCATATGACATACAGTATATATAACTGATTCAGATAGAGGAAGTGCATGATTACCATTATGAGACCACCATTGCTTGGGAAGCTCTCAGATAGAGGAAGTTCATCACTATGTGGAAGCAGACCTTGTTTCTCAACCCACTGACGAGCTGCATCAACAAGATTGCCACTGCTTCCACTTGATCCTTCCTTGGTAGCAATATCGGCTTTGTTTCCAATAACGATGTATGGGACGGGAAGACCACCAGGCCCACCAGAAGAAAGAGGAGCTGAAAACGTCCCACTTACTGAAACTTCATCCGCCCATTTCTGCAGACTTGTTTTTGTTCTCTTTTGGGAGAGATCATGAACAAAAATAACTCCTGCAAAATTAAGCAGTCACATCTGGTATGTGTGGGGGAAGTAGAGACTGAGATGACGACAGAGTTGAGATGACAGACCATTAACTTGTGAATAGAACAGTGAGCGGCAATCTTTGTATCGTTCATGACCTGATACATCCCAAAGTTCGACAAAGAAATCTCTCTCGGAATCACCTTTAATGCTACTTGAAGAACTAGCAGGACTTTCGTAAGTTAAGTACTGAACAAAAGAGAGTTTTCAGAAACTAAGTAAGGAACTAAAATAAGCTCAAGTTATCTTTAACCATATCGAGAAAACTAAAAGATAGTTTACCTTGACACCAACTGTACATCCAATTGTTTGAGATGGGCGAACGATAGAGGATCCTTTGACAATGAGATGCACAAGAGATGATTTTCCCACACCTAATTTGATATCAAGAGTTGAGGTACTAGTAGTAGACTTTTATAGAAAAAAACTTGCTGACTGAAGATACTCTGACTCTTATACGGTTCCAAAAATATATAACGCCTAATCAAATCAATGATGAAAATTTATCTTCTAAGCTTCTCACTTTTAAGGATGAAAAATACTGAGTTCGTGACACCAAAAAAAGACTTTCTTTAGTTGCAGACAAATGTTTACCAAATCTAACACACTGCACGTATATGATCAGTGCGTAAATCTAACATCATCCATGGAAAAACAAAGAGTTTGCTATTATTACCTGAATCACCAACCACCAGTACTCGAATTTGGCCGCATAAAGGCGAGACCACTTGTTCCTTGTTTTCCCTTTCACGTTCCTTCCAAAACTTCATTTTGTTTACACCAGAATAATCAGATAAGGTGAGGTAGGATATACATCAGCACATTACGAAACCAAGTCCCACAGTCACGTCTTCTTCCAGAAATTATCATTTTCAAACTTCGATTCCTCCTCGCAGAAGATTCTAATTCATCACATTGCACATTTCAAAACAGAGTCTCGGGGTACATATACTTCACCTATCTAGTGCAACTAAATCTCTAGAGCAAAAGTTATACAATTGATTGAGGTAAGTGAGAATCTACAGAATTGGCACGAGGATCAAAATCCGAATTCTAACGCCTAGTAAAGATCTATCTACCTAAATCTTCAAGTATGATTCGCCTGCTTCCTCCTTAACGTTTGTTCTTCTCGATCAATCTAGACAAAATTATTCAGAAAATATATTGCCAGTAACAAAGGTAACCCATATATTCTCGAGGCAAGGAGGTCTCGATCGACATTAGAGGATCTAGTCATCCAGAATCTCTGGTTTTGATACTATTTGGGCGGAAGAACGAACGGCATGAGTTTCTTCTACTTGCTCGAGTTGGTTCAATACACTTCTGAAATAAAATCATACCATATATAAAAGCTAGACCGGGATTAATACCAAACCGGATTGAGCTCACAACAATCAGTTAATGGGCCCATTAGCAGCCCATTTAGAAAAGATCATCGGCCGAAGAATCTGAGATTTCTTGTTCAAGGGGTTGGGCAACTCTGCGATTTTTCTGTGCTCGCAACTCCAATAAGCTCTCTCATCTCTCTCCCCGTCTCGCCTCTACTTTAGCTTAGAGCTTCTTCGTTCCGTCACCAGAAATTTTGATACTCCTACTTTCAGCTGATTCACAGTGATTTTAACGATGGCGAGTCTTCAATTACTCAGATCTGATGTTAAGTTTTTTTTTTTCCTCGTTTTCGTAATTTTGCATCTTCTCATTCCGTTGTATTTTGGATTTCAGGGAGACAGCGGGAAGCTTGAGGCGACGATAGATCGGCTTCTGAATGAAGAGAAGCAGATGAGACTCGCCGAAAACGTCGCCGGTACGAGGAAAGCAGCTACTGAGATTCTTCAGCTTTGTTTCGAAGCTAAGGATTGGAAACTTCTGAATGAGCAGATTCTCAATCTGTCTAAGAAACGTGGTCAGCTTAAACAGGTACTCCAATTTTGTCTAAATCCTATCATTTTTGTTCATTTAAGCTCTTAGGGAATTTGGGTTTTCATGCTCGTTTGATACTTTGTAGAGATTGCTTAGGTTGGGAATTTTGATTGATGTTCTTTTACTGTAATTTCTTCCACATTTCACCTCTGAATTGCATAGGCCTAGTGTTAGGTAACCCTAATCTTGGAAAGAGTTAAGGGACATAAGAACAAATTCAGGAGGATTCGCCTTTGTGATGGATTCAAACTTATTTTAGTAGGATTTTTTTTCCTGTGATAGGTTGCTTTTACGATTCATTTGAATGATTTTGATAGGTTCACTATTGACTTAAATATTGATGCTAATTGGGTCACTGGAGACAGTGATGGTTGTATTTAGTTCAGTTTATTACTCAAGTTAGTTAAAATTTCAGTGTGTTGTTTATTTTACTTTTGCTTTGCGTGTTTTCTTGGTTTAGTCTCTTGATACAAGTATTTGCTTAACTTTTTTTCATGTACAGAAGTATAGTTTTAAGTAAATGATACAAATTGAAAAGTTTACATCAGTGAATTTTATGCACTTCTCCATTCGTAGGCTGTCCAATCCATGGTGCAGCAAGCAATGCAGTATATTGATCAGACACCAGACATTGAAACTCGGATAGAGCTTATTAAGACGTTGAACAATGTATCTGCTGGAAAGGTGCGAAACTAAGAAACTGATGGTGTATTCTTTATTATAACTTCATCATCCGGTTGTAATTGTTTGCCATTGAATTTTTCTATGCATAGATATATGTTGAAATCGAAAGGGCTCGTCTGACCAAGAAGCTTGCTAAGATTAAAGAAGACCAGGGTCAGATAGCTGAAGCTGCAGATCTCATGCAAGAAGTAGCTGTAAGTTTTTGTGTAGTTGGCTGCTAAACCTCCTAAAGAAAATCTTCGTTCCTATTTAATCCCTGCAATGTTATATTCAGGTGGAGACATTTGGCGCTATGGCAAAGACTGAGAAAATTGCATTTATCCTTGAACAAGTAAGGACTTGTTTCATTACGTTGTAATTTATATTAACTGGTAGTTTCTTGTGGTGGGTGTTTCATTACGTTGGAATTTATATTTACTGGTATTTCTTCTGGTGCTAACAAATTTTGGGTAATTTTTAAGGTTCGCTTGTGCTTGGATCGTCAAGATTATGTTCGTGCACAAATCTTGTCTAGGAAGATCAATCCCAGAGTTTTTGACGCAGACACAAAAAAAGATAAGAAGAAACCTAAGGAAGGTGAGAACATGGTAGAGGAGGCGCCTGCTGATATACCCACCTTGTTGGAGCTGAAGCGAATTTACTATGAGCTAATGATTCGGTAAGTCTTCTTGTTTTTCTCTATTTCATTGTTCGTGATTTTTATTCCAATCAGTGTCTTGGCATGTTAAAGTATATATGATTTGATCATGGACCACACTCTCTGTCTCTTGAATCTGTGGGATTTTTTGCTTGCTGTGGTTTTCCAGAGATGCATATTACAAATTGTTCCTGGTGGACAGTATCAAATTTAGGATAATCTCCTGTTGTGTTAAATTTTTAACTCCTTTTCCAGGCTCACGTTTTATGACATGAATTGCATTTATGACATGATAATCGACTATGTAGGTACTATTCTCATAACAATGAGTACCTTGAAATCTGCCGAAGCTACAAGGCGATATATGATATCCCTTCTGTAAAAGAAACTCCAGAGCAGTGGATTCCGGTAAGCTCATGCCATTGATTGGACGTTTAATTATTATACATTCTATAGGGTTAGTTTAATAATTTTGTTTTGATCTTCAAAAATTAGGTCCTGAGGAAGATCTGCTGGTTCTTGGTCTTGGCACCTCATGACCCAATGCAATCAAGCTTGCTCAATGCAACTTTGGAAGACAAGAATCTATCAGAAATTCCTGATTTCAAGTACTTCTTCGTTCTACGCAAATTTGTTTTTTCCAATACCTAGTCTTCTGTTCTCAAATGGGTGCTAAGTCTTCTTTGATATTTTTCTTTGCAAGGATGCTTCTAAAACAGGTAGTGACAATGGAGGTTATTCAATGGACATCTCTGTGGAACAAATACAAGGATGAGTTCGAGAAAGAGAAAAGCACGGTTGGAGGTTCTTTGGGTGACAAAGCAGGTGAAGATCTGAAGCTGAGAATAATCGAACACGTAAGTCTGGCAATTTATCTTAAAGCTTGTTTACATCAATTGGTTGATGCTTAAAGCTATTAATATCTGAAAATCTAATTACATTCTGCAGAATATTCTTGTTGTCTCAAAGTATTACTCAAGGATAACCTTAAAGAGACTTGCCGAGCTTTTATGCCTGAGCATTGAGGTATATTGATATATAAACCCAATTGTTATATGCCAAATATGCTTCTACTTGATGAGATTTCATTACACAATTGTATGTTTATGTTGGAAATTGCGATTTCAGGAGGCGGAGAAGCATCTGTCAGAGATGGTAGTGTCGAAAGCACTGATAGCAAAAATAGACAGGCCGTCAGGGATTGTGTGCTTCCAGGTCGCAAAAGACAGCAACGAGATTCTAAACTCGTGGGCAGGGAATTTGGAGAAGCTTTTAGACCTCGTTGAAAAGAGTTGCCACCAAATTCACAAGGAAACCATGGTTCACAAAGCTGCTCTCAGACCTTGAATACATGTGGGGTTCAAGAAACATTTCAGGATCTTCTTCGTTGAGTTATTAGCAATCTTTATGTGGTAAAAACTCTGAAACAGTGTTTCCCTTAAAAAAATTGTACTATGGTTCTGTACACTAACGGAGTTCTTTTTGCCATTATTGGTTATTTCAAGTATTGTTGGAGGATTAATTTTGTGGTTAAATTGTCAGGAAAAAAATACATGAATTAAATTTTCAAGTAGTAAAGATGAGTTGAACTAGAAGAATAATATCGTCTCGTGTGTGTCCCCCTAGTCTTTGCGTAAATGGCTACTCAGGAGATAGATCCAAACCTTGCGCTGACACAAAGTCAGAGGATAAAAAAATTACTTGATAGATTTGAAGTTAATCCCATAATAATATAGCAAAATTATGATGGCACAAGCACATGTATATTCTTCAATACTATAAAAAAGAAACTAATAAAAATTAATTAGAGGAGACAGCTCTGCCAGTTCATCTCTGGTAAATAGTCCACGTTCTGGCGTCTTTGGGATTTCACCAACACCGTGTGACAGCTCCTTAGATCTCTCCTCGATAACTCCCTTTAATTTCCCCCATGGCTCTCTAAATCTCTGCTCCCTCTTCATCTCTCACTTGTATTACGATCTCTGCTTGAAGAATTATGGACGGCGCCGATGGAACCGTTCGCGTCAAGCCTGGTCGCGGATTTGAATCGGAGACGGATGTTGCCGTTTCGTCGCCAGTGACACGTCAGAAGGCTGCTGCAGCTAAGCAATTCATTGAGAATCATTATAAGAACTACTTGCAAGGCTTGCACGAACGAATGGAGAGGTTTGGGATTCGGATTTTGTTTGCTTTTCGTCTTGAATCTGATCTGTTCTTTGCTTCATTTGGAGAGATGACTTGTCTTTGACTTAGAGATTTTTTTAACAATAATTTCGAAATTGGTGGAATTACAGACGCAGGGAGTTTCAGAGGAAAGTGCAAGAAGCTCAGTTACCGGTTGAGGAACAAGATGAGATGATGAGGAATTTGGCGCGTCGTGAAACTGAGTATATGAGGCTTCAGAGACGTAAAATTGGGATTGACGACTTTGAGCTCTTAACCGTTATTGGCAAAGGTGCCTTTGGTGAGGTAACATCACATTTCATTTTCCAAATCGAGCTAGTTCAAACAGAGATCTATGCGTTTCTCTAGAAATTGATTGTTAAGTAATCAATCTTCAGGACATGTTTCAGTTTCATCCCTGAAATGTTTCTTTTCAGGTTAGATTATGCCGTTTGAGATCTACATCTGAGGTTTATGCCATGAAGAAATTGAAAAAAACTGAGATGCTTAGCCGTGGACAGGTACAAAAACTCCCCCCCATTATTTTTATCAACTAGAGATTTTGTTTATGTTATTCAACTAAAGCGTGGAATTCTAAGATGTATGAGAGTTGTTAGACTAGTAGTAAGTGTAAGATTGATGCTTAACAGCAGCTGAGAAAAACTTCCTAACCTTTTCCTTTATTATTAGACTCTCTTCACTAGGTGCTTCAGTTTTGCATGTTTTCGCTTGTGCCGAAAAAATGAGTTTCCTTTACTGTTTTATTCTCTCTAGGTTGAGCATGTCAGGTCCGAGAGGAACTTACTTGCAGAGGTTGACAGCCGTTACATTGTAAAGCTTTTTTACTCATTTCAAGATTCTGAATGTTTGTATCTTATCATGGAGTATTTACCTGGGGGTGACATCATGACTTTACTCATGAGAGAAGACATTCTTTCTGAAGATGTCGCTCGTTTTTATATTGCGGAAAGCATTCTTGCTATCCATTCAATCCATCAACACAACTATGTTCACAGGTATATTCAATTTCTAAATCATTTTTGTATGCCTAGTGATTAAGGCCTTAAGGGTGTTGTAGAGATCTCTATACACTGAAAAAAGTCCATGTATACTAGTTAGTCCTAGAAACAGAAAACATATATATTATTTGGTTCTTGATTTGAGTTTTGTTATTTCTTCCCTGTAGGGACATCAAACCTGATAATTTGATACTAGACAAAAGTGGGCATTTGAAGCTTTCAGATTTTGGCTTATGTAAGCCACTAGATGATAAGTACTCGTCACTGTTATTAGAAGACGAAGAAATGTTGTCTCAGGATTCAGAGGGCCAGTCAGGAAAATCAGAAGCTGACAAAGCACCCTGGCAAATGCCTAAAGAGCAGTTACTGCAGTGGAAGCGCAATCGCCGTGCATTGGTATTTATGCTGCTTCTCTAATTGATTTACATGGTTACTCGTTTTTGCTATGAGTATAAAGATCATATACTACTTCCAGTATATCTTAGGTAATCATTTTTGTTATGTGTTTATCCTTCATATTCACAGGCTTATTCAACAGTTGGAACTCTTGATTACATGGCTCCAGAAGTATTGTTAAAGAAAGGATATGGAATGGAATGTGATTGGTGGTCTCTCGGCGCAATTTTGTATGAGATGTTAGTTGGGTATCCCCCATTCTGTTCTGATGACCCCCGTATAACATGCCGCAAGGTAGGTGTATATAGCTGGTTAGTCATGCCTTTCTTATCTATAATAAGAACTGTTAACGCTTGCTAAAGACTTGTGCTTCTTATCTCAGATAATTAATTGGAGGGTATGCTTGAAATTCCCTGAAGAACCTAAAATATCAGATGAAGCCAGGGATTTGATTTGTCGTTTGCTATGTGATGTTGATTCAAGGTTGGGAACCAGAGGTGTTGAGGAGATAAGGGTGAGATTACTGAAAAATATATGTAAATATAAGGTTCATTAGTTAGCCTCACTTTCTTCATCCATGACATCATTGTAATCTATTTTGTTCATGTTTCAGTCGCATCCTTGGTTCAAAGGCACCCCATGGGACAAACTGTATGACATGGAGGCAGCTTATAAACCCATTGTCGATGGAGAACTAGACACACAAAATTTTGAGAAGTTCCCTGAAGTAAGTTAGATAGAATCTCAAAATCTTGTCATCACATGATTTGTAGCCTGAGGCAGTTGTTGAAACCAACTAGCTGGTGAACTTAGAACTTGTTTTAAACCTGCTGAAACTGAAAACGTTCTTATGGATCTTAGTGTAGTCCTTGGATTTTCATTGCTAAAATGAGAAGTCAAAGTGTCGAATATCCTCATAAATTTTTTGATGTCTTGTAGGTTGAAGGGTCGCCATCCGAAGCACCACAAGTTGGTCCTTGGAGAAAGGTGAGGCACTCCACTTGATTCCTATGATATAATCTTAGTTGCAAATTAATATATGCGGAAAATGTCTCAGAACATAATAAAGCTAGCAAATTTTGTTTTGTTATGATTGAGAGTATCAACGAGTTTTGGATTGTATGCCATCAACTGAAACAATTTGGTTCTACCTTTTGGATTGGTTGAGCAGATGTTGACGTCCAAAGACACCAACTTCATAGGATTTACATTTAAGAAGTCAGACATCACAAGATCAATGGAAAATTCAGGTAGTTTTCATATTTCTTGCCTCAACTGCGCATAACTTGCTCTTAAGCTAAACTGTGTTCTAGCAAAGTGGTTCAAATAGTTGGATATATGGATCTAATATTCAGCTGTGACATTGAAACGTAGGTGCGGACATGAAATCAAATGGATCAGGGGAAGCCCCGTCGTTGATATCATTGTTAGGTATGTAACCAAATAGTAAATCCCTTAAAATGAGTGATAGTATGTGTGGTGTTAGAGGAGAGGTTGACATGTGAAGGTATATATATTAATATCCAGGTCGGATCAATATGGAAGAAGGTGAAGGTGGTGAGTTAAACCACAAGACATAGAGAAATACAAATATTATTGATTTTTTATCGGATTGCAGCTCTTTTGATCATATGGCAGAGGCAATGGAGAGGCGATGGTCGTTTTTAAATCACATATGACTTATGATGGTTCATAAAACTCCCATTTCCTTTTTCTTTTTTCTTGTAACATATTTGTTTTTTTTTTTTTATAAAAGAAACTGTAAAGCATGGAAGAATAATTTCTGGAACATTTCACCACAAGTTATCAATACATCGAAATGAAGCTCGCTTTTCTGCCATACTTCTTATCCAGCCTTTTCTTATATCTTTAATTGTAACTAGGATTATACAGTTTGATCTTAAGTTGAACCAATCATGTGGTTGAAAGAAAACAAAATAATTAGTGAAAATAAATAAATAATATTATGGCTTAAAAATACAGTATGATGAAGGCAAATGGGCCTTTCTAGGTCTTATTACAATTATTTGGGCCCATCATTAACGAGCTGATTTGTGCTGGAAGTACCCTTTATAACCTCTCAACTGTTCGGGATTTAAGAAATTTTATTATTACCATCTTCTAGATGTCCTCGATCGAACAGGCACAAACAACACAGCTAAATTCAATTCACTCGTTAGCTTCTTCCAATTCGCAACCCTAACAAAAGCCCTAATCTACGAAATTTGCCGAATTGTTGAAGAGAATGGAGTTTGACGAATACGAGTATCTGGAGAAGACGGTTGAGGAAGGGGATGAGTTGAATAGGAAGAAGGAAGAGAGTGGGAACGAGAAGAGCGAGAGGAGCTACAGAAAGAGAGAAGAAGGAGAGAGGCATGACGAAGAAGACGGTGATAAAGAGCGAGGTATCAGTCGGAGTAAGAAGTCTCGTGGAGACGGCGAAGAGAACGGTAAGAGGGCTCGGGAGAAAGAGAGGCATAGGAGCAGCAGAGACAAGGAGAGAGAGAGGGATAAGGTTAGAGAAGGATCGAGAGATAAAGAGAGCGATCGTGAGAGGAGTAGCAAGGAGAGAGATAGGAGCGAGAGGGATAAAACCCGAGACAGAGAGAGAAGAGAAAGGGAGAAGGAGAGAGAGAAGAGGGAGAGGGAGAGAAGGAGCAGCAGTAGATATCGGAAGGAAGAGAGGGAACGTGAAGTAGTGGAAAGAGGAAGCAGGTTTGTTGGATTTTGTTTCTTGTTTTGCTTTTCCGTATAGGAAAGATGTAGCGTCCCAATGAGATTGCTCTAGTCGTTTAAGAACGGGTTTAATGATTTTACGATTGCAGGAGACACAAGGACAAGAAAGATGAGCCTGAAGCAGATCCAGAGAGAGACCAAAGAACTGTTTTTGCTTATCAGGTAGGTTCTTAAGCATTGTGTTTAATAATGAGGGGGGAAATTATCAACATTTTTAAGTTGACTGATCACGCTAATTTATCTGGTTTTCTAATGAACAGATGCCTCTAAAAGCTACGGAGAGAGATGTTTATGAGTTCTTCTCCAAAGCGGGCAAGGTCAGTTACTTTGATCCTTCCTAGTTTATTAATTTTCTTTCTGGTCGTAGTTGGTTGGACCATAGAAAGGTATTAGCGTTGCACCATGACTCTATTTTCAATTATAAATGTTTTCCTGTTTAAGTGATTACTGCTTTGAGGTTGGGTTCTGTAGTTCTTGTCTCTAACAACATATTACGGGGTTAGTTTACTTCATTTGCTTGGATAGAAACGCTTATTGTTCTTTGGTTTTGAATAGTTTGTGTGATTGTTTATCTAGATGACTAGATCCCTCCTTTATTGTTTAATAGTTTGTGTGCTCTGGTCTTCATTGGCTGCTATCTTTTTCCCTTTAGTTCTATTGCGTCTTCGTTCCTATTGTTATCTGTTTCTTATAATTTCAGGTGAGGGATGTGCGATTGATCATGGACAGAAATTCAAGAAGATCAAAAGGAGTCGGGTATGACATTCTTTCCGTTTCCTTAAACTCAGTGTTGTGTATGTGCACTTGGTACATAATATTCTGCATATTAAGTTGTCTCTGCAATTTCAAGAACTCGATTCTGTATTCTTAGATGCACTAGCCATGCGATAATGATGAGGATGATGGCAATACCTTGCACACTTGTTTAATCAATTCTGCGTGGTCAAGGTAGATGTCAGAAAACCTGAATCCTATTTCAGTTGTTACTTTCCATTGCAAGCACTACCAGGAAGGAGGGAATCCATTAGCCAATGAATCTTATTCACATTCTTTGTTTGATACTTCCTCTTAGTCTCTGGTGCTTTCCCAGTCCTCTGTTTGGGATATTCGCTGATGAGCAGCTTGCATATATAGTCATTCTGTTCTAGACTCGATTATTGTTTATCATGATGAGCTAACATTTTTTATTACTCTAGGCCTCCAACCCTTCAAAAGAGACACAGCTTGAATCCCCGCACTAAAGTTTTTTGTTTCCAAGTTCTCTTTGCTACTTTCTTTGTAAGTTTTTTTCTGATTTTTTTTCCTACGTGTGCTTGAAGTCAAGTATATCTTCTTTTTTTGGATTTGCAGGTATATTGAGTTTTATGATGTGATGGCTGTTCCAATGGCCATAGCTCTTTCTGGACAACCATTTCTTGGACAACCTGTGATGGTTAAGCCTTCCGAAGCTGAAAAGAATCTGGCGCAATCTAACGCTACTACGGGTGGTGGTACTGGCCCTGCAGATAGGAAACTGTATGTGGGGAACTTGCATTTCAACATGGCAGAGTTGCAGCTTAGACAGGTGACATTTTTTTGTCAGTTTTAGTCACCCTCTCTTCTTAGAGTTTTCTAGATAGAGTCTTGATGTCTTTCTTGAGAGGCTTTATTAATCTTGCACACACCAGCAAGTATTTTTTCAATATTTGTTCATGCTCTGAGTTGTTTCCTTTTCTTTATCAGATTTTTGAGGCGTTTGGTCCTGTTGAGCTTGTTCAGCTACCACTTGACCCTGAAACTGGGCAGTGCAAAGGTTTCGGATTTATTCAGGTTAGTAGAACGTGTTTTATAAAACAGCTGGTATTCTTTATCGTGGATATTCTTCACTTTATTTTCCCTTCCACAGTTTGCCCAACTTGAACATTCAAAGGCAGCTCAAATTGCCTTAAATGGAAAGCTGGAGATTGCTGGTAGGACAATTAAGGTGAGTGTTGGAACTCCTTGTAAACAAATGATGAGCTCTTAGACTTGCATGGATCTAATGATACATTATTCGGATAAAAATATTCTATAGGTTTCCTCGGTGTCTGATCATGTTGGTACACAAGATGCTGCTCCAAAATCTGCTGATTTTGATGATGATGATGGAGGTGGACTAGTAAGCTAAAGAACCTCTTCCTTGTACGCTTCTTTCTCTATTAAGGCCTGTTCAGTAACGGCTTTCTCTTTTTCTCAGGCTTTAAATGCACAATCGAGGGCTCTGCTTATGCAGAAGCTGGATCGTTCAGGTATTGCAGCAAGGTATGTCTCTCTCGTAACTGTATGCTTCCTTTTTGCGTGTTTAGTTGCCTACAATTTTGTATTGCTTGTATCTCTCTATAACATATAGAATTTATTCACAGCATTGTGGGCCCTCTTGGAATACCAGCGCTTAATGGAACAGCTCTTAATCAACCAGGCATGATTCCTAGTTTTCCAACATCAGTGCTTCCAACAATAGCGATCCCTTCTTTTGTCACTGAGCATATTGGTGAGCCAAGTGAATGTATACTACTGAAGAACATGTTCGACCCTGCAACCGAGGTCAATCTTTGCTTTTTATTTTTTTTTTGCATTTGAGAACTATGCAAAACTCAAGTCTCAGCCATATTTAAGTGGATGGCTGCTGGCATTTTTCTACAATAATTATTAACTTCAAACCATTATTTTGTTGCAGACTGAACCGGACTTTGATCTTGATATTAAACAAGACGTTGAGGATGAATGCTCAAAGTATGGGAGAGTCAACCATATTTATGTAGACAAGTAAGTATATCAATCAAGGTGTGTCTTGCATGTTTGGTTCTTGGTGTATATATATGTGACATTGGTCTGAATCTGTTGAAATGCAGGAACAGTGCTGGTTTGGTTTATCTGCGGTTTGAATCAGTGGAAGACGCAGCAGCAGTTCAAAGAGCGATGCACACGAGATGGTTTGCACAAAAGATGATATCTGCAACTTTCATGGTAAGATAGATCATTCATCACTTTATCTGTTGTATTTCATCTGTTTCTCAGGTTTTGACTGAATGATTTATTTATCTATAATTGCAGCCTCCAGAAGAATATGAAGCCAAAGCCAAGGCCTGATTTGAAGGCATATGTCTCCTTCCGTAGATTTTCTTGTTCTGACTTGGTATAAACCGAAACCGCGAACAGCTATCCAGATTTAATCTCTTGTCTGAAATTATGTTATATAGATCAAAAGATTATGGGGACGTTCCTTTTTGTTTTGTTTGTTCTCGTTGGTTGTAACTTTCCCATATATTGGATGGTAGAAATGTTTTCAGTTTTTTTTTTTTTTTTACTTTCTTATGTTTGTTTACACATGATAAACCATATCGAAGGTGCACACAAATAATTTCATGATCTAGTTTTGGTTTGAGCTTCCGGAAAATTCTGAGGAAACTAACTCTCCACCTGCCATTTCAGCCGGAAAATGGTATTAATATTGATTGTACCCGTAAGATTCATCATAGATTGTAAAAGTGATGCAAATTAACATTATCTATCCTTGGAGATCAAGCCTCTACGCTTGGTCTCAATCAATGTGCGAGAACCATATTCAATGAACCCTATTAAGCCTTGTTTATATATTCAAGCAAGCGCTCCTAAGTAGCTCACGATCCCCACGTCAACCATATCTTAATTTTACCTTTCCTATCAATAACCGTGTCACATTTTTTCCTCACATCACCTTTAACCTTGCCGCGGGCTTTACCACAACACATTTCCACTTAGCCATTTTTTTTTTTCCTTTTCTAAACGGTTAATATTCATATAAATGAAAAGGGTAGATAGTACAATAGACTAAATACCTACAAATTAGTGTAATCTTGGCAAAAAGAAATAAAAACAAGATTACAATACTCGAAGGTTAAAGAAATAACCGACTTATCGGATCCATAGGCGGATGAGACTACAAAACCGTTTCAGATGTCTCCTTGAGGAGATGCAATTGCGGATTATCGAGTGCGAGTTGTGATAAGACATTATTTCTCTATTTCCAGATGTGGAAGATTGTTGTGTGCACTGCCATCTTCCTGAGAGTAGTCTATTTCTTACTTCCGAGACTCAAAAATCCAAAATTTTACCATCATCATATTACAATAAGTATTTTATTGTAGAAAACATCGCCAACTACATATTTTAGAATGAGCACTTTCAGTCAGGGAAACATATACCACATGTTAAAATTACAGGTTTAAGAGTGAGTATAAAACTGTAGAATTCATCTTTTGTTGTTTTTATTTAAAAAAAAGAAACTAAAGAGTGAGTGTCAATTGTGAAAGACAAAAACCAACACGCGTAAGAACATATACATGAATAAGACTTCCACGCGTTCTAAGATTGTTTTGTTTTTTTTTAATTGAAGAAACAAAGCCGTACATGTTTTTTGTTTTCAATCATTGTTTTGTTTTTGATCTTTTAATTTGCTCTCTCCAACCAAATTCTCAAATCATGAAACTAGCAAGTGTGCTTGCGTTCAATCTACTCTTTCAGATCGTCTCCACCGATTGTATTTCCTTCTTTCTCAATATGATTAAAAACATAATCAATTCGTACTAATTACAAAATGCTTAATCATATATAATCTAATCATGATGAAACCATACTAATGTAGATTTAAAAAAATTAAAAAAAACCATAAACAGCAACCCTAACGATCGAGAGTTGTTCCATCATCTAATCACGATCCTGATTGGTCTCGTCGCCATGTAAATGCTCTCTATCGTCCTATACTTCTTCTTCTTCTTCTTCTTCAATGACATTACTCTCATGAACACTTGATGATCTTCATTGCATTGATGATCTTGATCATGATGAATATGATCATTATCTATACCGAATATTTCCTCAATCGTCTTCTTCTTCTTCTTGTCGATGATATTATCGAGATTGGTGGTCTCTTCGTCGCTCAAATGCATCAACTGTTGCGCTGCCTCCATCTCTGTCTCCGTCATCGTCTCTTGTCTTCTCCTCCGTTTATTATGACTCTCAATCTTTGATTCCATCATGCAAAACTTTATGGTCTTTGGATTTTTAGTATTTTTGTTTTGTTTTGTGTTATAGTAATAAAGTTTCTTCCAAGGATTACGTAAATGTTAAGGAGGGTTTTTGGAGTCCATGAGAAACTGCGACGTTGCTGCTGCGAAATCTCTCTCTCTCTCTCTCTATCTCTATACCTCATCTTTCCAACTATATTTGTCAAATTCGTCCCTATACTTTTTTACTAATTTGTTGAATCATTCCGTAGTTTGTTAACTTACATTTTACACCCTTCATAAGCTTATATTTTAACTATGGTTTTAACTTACATTTTATATACATTCAATTTATTTCCTAAAGTTTTGTTATAGTAATAAATTTCGTTATTAATTTTTCTTATAAGCCGAGTATTGTATAGAGAAATTTATATTTGTCTAAAAATATTATTATATTTTGACTTGTAATTTCATAAATAGTACTTTGGCCCTTTCCCTTTGGTAACAAGACGCGTATCTTTTCCGGACTTATGGTTTTGTCAAAGCTCTCTCTTTATTCTAAAACTTGTTTAACATACATTCATATTTTATTAAATACTGTATCTTTTTTTTTCTGTTCTCAAAGGAAAATACAACAACTTTAAAGCCATCTCTCGGTTTTGGCTGTTTTCAAGAAATATACTAAAGCCATCTCTCATTTTTCTTTCTGACTTTGAAATCTACGAAAAAAATGAAGAAAAAGAAAACAAAAAGAAAATATAGTAATGAATGGGATCCTTTTTGGTTAGGTTCCAAAAGTATCCAGTCAAACACAGTTGTGTTGACTTTTGACTGGTTCGTGCTCCGAGTCCGAGGTCTCCTCAACCTCAAGAGAGTAGAACAAGTCTTTGGGGAGAACTCAGCAAACAAGATCCACAGAGACTGAATCTCCCTTATTTTCCAGACAATAACATCTTTTACTTGACATTTTATGCCCATGAAACATTCTTCTTCTACTCTAGAGAAAGATTTAACAAAATGTTTCAATGAAAGAATTAATAACATAACATCTCTCTCTCTCTCTCTCTCTCTTTTCTGTTTTTTACTTTCACCCCCCAACAAAAATTTTAACATGAACATAATAGACAACACCACCTTCTTGGCTTCTTCTATATCTACAAATACAACACCTTCCAAAAACAACATTTATATATCTAGATCCCTTTTTCTTTTGTGTTCAATCTAACAGGGTCTCTTGTTCCCAATCATAGTAAACAATCAAAAGTGTGAGTGACCCTTTCCTCTTTACTTTACCTCTTGTGGAAAATCGTTTTTATGTATCATCTCATCAACTCGACCATCAATCAAAGACAGTCCAACCCGCATATCTCAAGGATAGGACCTCCTTTCGCCACAAACGGGTTGACTCTGACCCAAAGAAGCGTAAGGATAGAGGCCAGAAGAATTGACCACACAAGAATGATAGTTGGCATTCTGGTTTGTTTCCCAAGCAGACCTTTCAGGAAAGGATATAGATGGAGGATGACCCAAAAGGCAAAGAACAATCTTCCAAAAAGCGGTCCCCATGAGTCATATCCGTTACTGATCGCATCGGAGATTCCAACAATGACTCCAATCACGTTTATGATGAGGAGTGTAGTCGGAGGGATCAAGAGTGAGGTCCATTTGAAGATGTAAAGCTCAGAGAATTCTCCGTCATCAGCTGCTTTAGATGTGACCGTGAAGTTTGTATCAACACCAGCTAAAACCTTGAGGAGACCTTGGAAGAGAGCAAAGAGATGAGCTGAAACACCTCCAATCACCCAAAACTGTTCGTTTCTCCACCAATCATCGATCCCAACTTTACCCCATTGCATCTCCAGAATGCCCGTCACAGCAATCGACCCGAAAAGTGCCATGAAGAGTATACTTGCATAGTTGCTAATCTGCAACAGAAACAAGAGCAAAAAAAAAACCTTAACATAGAATAAAGATTGATACTTAAGAGAGCTCAAAGATGATCCTCAGGAAAAATGAAGTTACACAAAACATAAAATACGGTTCATGCTTTGGAGAACTCATATATGATAATTTTTACCTCAGGAACAATGGATTTACACACAACATGGAATAAAGGTTCACTCTTTGGAGAGCTTAGAGATGGGTTTGTTATTTTACCTCGGGGACAATGAATTTTCCGGTGAGAAGACAGATGGCAGGGAGAGAACAGTAAACGAGGAGTGGAATAGAGGTCCATGGATAAACCACAGAGTTGATGTAAGACAATCTCTCAAGCCATTTCAAACCGCCTCCATAACCATACCAAATAGGGCAATGTCTGCTCAAGAATATCTCAACAGACCCGAGCGCCCACCGAAGAACTTGATGGAGACGGTCAGAAAGATTGATAGGTGCTGATCCTTTAAATGCAGGTATCTTGGGTGTACAGTAAACCGATCTCCAGCCATGAGAATGCATCTTAAAACCCGTAAGAATATCCTCAGTGACAGAACCGTAGATCCAGCCAATCTTAAATGAATTTCACAAACACCATGAAAGAAATCAATAATCTTATTGCAACATGAAAGACCAAGTGCAAAAAAAGTGTTTAAAAGAGCACTAAATTACCTCTTTTCCCCATTCGGTTTTATCTTCATAACCGCAACTAATGACTTGGATAGCTTCTCTAAGCAGAGAACCCGGACTCGCATTCCTTGCAAGCCCACCATTCTCCATTGCAGCAGACGCAACAAAAACAGGCGATTGTCCAAACTTCTTCTCCAACTTCAATTGTGCCGCCTCTGGTGATTTCACCTCGTTATTAGTGCCTAAGAAAAAGAAAGAAACAAAAAACTGTTCAACAATGAACTGAAGTTAAATGTTGTAACCAATCATAAAGCAGCAACTTTCTTCGATTTACCTTTGGAACCCTCTTCGATATTTTCTAGCGCATGTATCTGCTTTGAGGTTTCCCTGTTCTTCTTTTTCTTATCAGTTGTCTTTGTCTTACGATTCTTTCTTAAACCACAACAAAACAAACACCATTTAGGCCAGCAATTACAAGTCATACGTGGAGACTTCTTCTTTTTTGGCGCATCATATCCATAAAGTGCCTGTCTCCTAAAAACACACCCGGTTCCAACATATATAGGCCCTTGTAATCCATCCAAGCCTTTCATATTTATCTGTTTCAAGAATTACAAGATGAAAAGCTAGTTAAATAAGAGTGGATGTATAACTCAAAAGAAGAATGAGTTGATAGAGAATGGTGTACTTACATCGAAGAATACAACATTGCGATTAGAGTATCTATCGCTTTTATCGATCCCATCGAATCTTTGAGGGAACTGAACATAGCAAATTTTCTTTCCCGACTGTGGATCCATCATAAAACACATTGCTTCTCTAAGAGCCTTGCTATTATTGATGTAGTGATCACAATCAACATTTAGAAGATAAGGAGCATTTGATAGAACTCCCGAGACTCGAATCTTCAATTAAATACAGCAACATGAAAAGAAAGACTCTGAATGTTAGCAAGAAACCATCATAAGTCAAGTCCAAGAATACATTCAAGAATTAACCACAATTATTTACCAGGGAATTCATGGCTCCAGCCTTCTTATGATGGTCAAATCCAGGTCTCTTTTCACGAGAAACATAAACAAGCCGAGGCAACTCGTTGTTTTCTACATCCCGAACACCGTTATTTCCAAGGAAGACCTATTTCCAGGAAAAGGCAAGAAAATAAAGTGGTAAGTTTTAAGTATACAGACACAGCACCAATAATAGAAAGAAACAGTTAACGCCTTACCTGGATCATGCCAGGATGATCTCGCACATTATTACCGGGCCAAGGAGTACCGTCTTGCATAGTCCAACCTTCTTCAGGCACTTTCTGTGCAGTAGCAACTAAAGCATTGATCTTTACCTTGAATTCTTCATAATCTCTCTGCAACCAGGAAGACAAAGGATTATTCTCTTCAACAGAGCCGCAAAATTTTCACAAGAATTTTATATATAAAAGCGCAAGAGTGAACAAACCTTTATGGCTCTGCGTTCCCTAACAAATGCAGGATGAACTTTATTCTTCAAATAATCCATCTTGTGGCAAAAATACCATTCAGGGGCACGTGGTTCAATACTGTATTTCTTACAGAACGGAACCCATTTCCTTGCGAATTCTGCTGTTTCTGAAAGTGCTTCAAAAGTAAGCATAGCAGCACCATCATCAGATACATAACAAGCAACCCTGTCTACTGGATAATCAACCGCAAGAATAGACAGAACAGTGTTTGCTGTAATAAGCGGAGGCTCTTTCAATGGATCCACCGTACTGACAAAAACATCCACAGGAGCTAGTTCTGATGGTTTTCCTTCTTTCTCGTACCTCAATGAAAGCCTGTCCAAGTATGTTTCTCTCTCTATAGGATACCATTTAGGGAACTGATCAAGAACCCATGAAACCGCAAACCATATTTCACATATCACGGATATAAGCCACAGAGCGTAAGCATCATTGACGGGGTGAAGAATACGGTAATGGAAAAAGAGACCAAGAATCACAAGACGGAGAACGATTAGCATCCTGTAGGGATTTATTTTGCTCGACTTTATTGGTACTTTCCTAGACAGAGGCTGCCTTCCCTCATCCATCCTAAAACATGACCAAACAAAATAATACTCGTAAATACCAAAGCAAAGTGATGAAACATGACAAGGCAGTGTTGTTACGAAAGATTAGTTTGCCTTACATGGGAATTTCAGCATCATCTCCGTCACCAGTACTAGAATCTCCATCATGTTTAACTACCTGATATTTCTCGTTCTGCTTTCTCTTCCACTCTTCCATTCGATCCTTCCATGCAACACTTCCATATCCATAAACCGCAAGGTCTTTCTGAGGTACCATGGGTCTTGGATGTGCTGTGACAGAGAAAAGCAGTAACTTAGTAACCACAAACAAAAATAAAAGGAAATCAAATTATGTAACCTGAAATGAGAAAAACAAAACTTACCAGCGGGGTCAGCAACATGCGGTTGATGATACCTATTGACATGACCAGGTGACGGAGAAACAATAAGAGCATGACTCTCAGAAGAAATCTCCACGTCCTACAAAAAAAGCAATCATAACAAACAACCAAATGAGCCAAAAAATGAGAATTTAAGAGGCAATACAAATATACAATAGCTAAAGAAAATATGAAGCAACCTCCTCGCCATAAGTTAACAAA